AGTCCGTTTAGGACTAACCTAGCCGAATCCAACAAGGAACCCTCCTCTTGTAATCTCCTATTTAAGGAGACGCTATTATTGAATGAGGATATCGAATATTCARTCAARAAAGARAGTRAAGGAGAGTTCGGTGATCTCTTGGACAAATCACCCCTGAGATAGTCAAAATAGGGCCTGTACGCAAGGCTAAGGGCAAGGAAAGATCTGAGGTTCCTGCGGTGGAGCGACCCGTGACGCGATCCTACGCTCGGGCCCATAACATCTCTCCCCACTTCTCTTTCTTGAATCAATGATTTTGTTTGCAATTAGGACTCTATCATGGATATGTTTATTGTGGACAAAAGCTCCTTGGTAATCAGAGATAAGAGTGTCCATCACTACATGTAGTCTTGATGCTAAAATCTTGGCCCAGATCTTAGACACTGCCAATTAGGCTGATGGGGCAAAAATCCTTCAATTTGCTGCCCCACCTTTTTTGGGAATTAATGAGATGAAGGAAGCATTTAGACTTCTCTCCAAAGCTGCTTAACTGTGAAATTCTTCCAGGACCTTGAGCAAGTCTGACTTGATTAAACCCCAGAATTTCTTGTAGAATAAAATTGTAAAACCATTTGGAACAGGTGCCTTCTCCCCTTCCAATTCATCAATAGCATTATTGACCTACTCCTATGAAAAGGGCTTTTCTAGCTCAACTGCCTGCTGTTCTGTTAGCATTGCAAAATTAAGACCATCTAACTTGGGTCTGAACTGACAGGGGTCCTTATACAGTTGCTTGTAGAAGCTCACAATGGCTCTTTCAATCTCTCTTTAATCTTCTACCAGCCTCTCATCAACCTGCAACTTTTTAATGGAATTAACCCTTCTTTTGGCATTAGCTATTTTATGAAAAAAAGTTGTTGTTATCCCCAAGCTTTAACCAAGTGACTCTTGACTTTTACTGCCATTTCACCTCTTCTTGAAACACTAGAGAGTCATATTCTTTCTTTGCCAGCACCCTCTTCCTTTTGAGACCTTCCTTCAAATCTTCTCCTTCCTCCTTTTAAGTCCAGATCTGTAATAATTTTTAAGCACTCTTCCTGTCTTTTGAAGATCTTTCCTTTTTCTGTTCTTTTTTTTTCCCTTTTAACCATTTGAGTTTTTTTGGTAAAAACATGACTACCAGACCCTCCTTATGTCAATATTAATTCTTAAACCCAAGGCTTCTTCGAACCAGATAAGAATCATGCAAATTGTCTCCATTTTATCAATGAAATAGTTCTATGAATTATGTGAATAATATTAAAAATCACGATACTTAATTATCTAATAAAACATTATTTATGTGAGTCATGCCCATGTATCCTACAGCATTACTCCTGGACATGTGTTAGATTCTGATTCCTGTGTTTGTGTCCATGCAGCATTGCCTGTATGTCACTTTTTATAGTTCTTTAACAATTGTGGCCATTGAGAATATAAATATTTTAATATTAAGCCATCTCACAAACTGGGATTTATTATTATTTTTTGTGTGTTATTGCTGCCATTGTGGATTACCTATATAGTTGGTTTCTAATTAATCTTATCTCTTTCTGCAGCTACAAGATGCTGGATTCTGGACAGATGCAGCAACTTTAGCTGCTACCCATTTACAGGGATCTGATTATGCAAGGTTTATTTCTGCTTTTTTCTCAATTTATACTGATAAGTTGTTCTATGTAACAATCTTCTTTTCAAGTTTTCTGTTGTTGGTTTGCAACTTCTATGTGCATTGGAAATTTGAAAATGTTGTCACCTGAATGGAAGCGCAATATATGCATCCATTTCAATTTATAAACACTGTGATTATATGCTGTACAAAGCCCATCAGGCTTGGAAGATACTTTCCAGGAAAAAGAAATTTAGGTATCCCCTTTCATCATGAAGTAGTTTTCAGTTGAATAACAATGAGAAGATTCTAAGATTTTGGCTGCAAAGTTTGGCATGTTTAAGTCTTAGAAGTAACCAGTTGGGCATTCAGAAGAATCAGTAGATATATTATAAATTATATACATGTAATTAAACATTTTCTTATATTGGTTGTTCATGCTTTAGCAAATAGGGTTTTCAATCTTATCTATTGGACATTGAGGTCAGCAAACTCCTTTCTGGATAAAATTGTCAATTGCAATCTCAGCATATTACACCAAATGCATAAGATTGATTTAATCCTTTGACAATGGGTAAGAGTGTGACTATTTGATATATTTTGATCTTACAGGGTGTTGCAGAGATGGGCTGATCATGTCCTTCATGCAGAGCATAACATCTGGAGGTAATGCATTATGAAGTTTTCAGCTGTGCCATTGTAACTATAAAGCTAAACTGCTACTCTAATCTAAATATGCAGGGCTTTGATACTGTATGTTGCAGCTGGTGCATTACAAGAGGCATTAGCTGTACTTCGTGATGCACAGCAGCCAGACACAGCTGCTATGTTCTTACTCGCTTGCCATGAAATTAACAGAGAAATTGCTTCCAAATCAGAAAATCCAGATGATCTCTTAAGGTCATCAGTTGAAAACCAAAAGTCGGTTTTGCCTTACCTGGATCCTGAGCATGAAGATGTAATTGCAGTTGGTGAATATTTTGGGCAGTACCAGAGGAAACTGGTTCATCTTTGCATGGATTCACAACCAGCTTTTGACTAGCAGGATTAGGTTGAGATTACATTGGTTCAGCTAAAAGATTCCACCAGAGTAGAGCTAACATCTATAATTCCAAACACGTCAATTAGTTCAAAGATTCCTTCTAACATCAAGGATTTCTTGGTTACTGGCTTGTTGGTACCAGCTAAAGGCCTCATAGTTAATGGAGAATGGGAACAGCATCAACTCAATTGATTTTCATTTTGATTATTTAATGTTCTTTATGTATCCAAACTGGAGAAACCAGAAAATCAGTCCTTGGATGCACTTGGGGAGAATAACATCCCAACCAAATTATGTCACTTGCCAGCTACAGAGTCCCAGATGCAGTAATATCATTGATCAGTTATCGATTCATGATTTAGAGGTTGGGAACGATGTATTGCAGGTATTCATCAAAGGAGATAATTGCCCGTGCAGTTTTGTAGTTGTTAAGTCTGAGTTTCCTAGTTAACATGTTTTCTGGTTTTGCAAGAGGTATTACTGGTATATGTACCCTGATGACCCTAAGGATGTTGCTGGAGAAGTTTTGGACAGGGCAAGATGATCAATTTATGGCTGTTAATTTTTTTATTTTATTTTTATTTTTATTTTTTCTGTTTGAAAGTTAAAACGGTTGATTATTTATATCAATCGTACTGGTGGTCCGGTTACATCCAATGGCTTTGTTGGTGGGTTTTGTAAGTTTTTCTATTCTGTAAAGATCACCAATGTACAATTCATTTCATATTATTTGAATGTTTATTTGTTCGTTGAAATAATGAGTTTTGATGTAAACTGACGATAATAATGAGAACGTGGGTTTCTATCTCATGTTGAAATTCCTTTTCTTTTATGAGTTGGTTAAACCATTCTTCGTTTTAGGTCTACAGCAACTGCAGAATGGCCTTGCCCACCTAAACGTCCTCACATGTCACATTTCCATGTTCAGATGATTAGCATCCACCACTGACACTGATTAGCGCTCAATTAAGAGATTAAACAGGCCAAAACTCAGAACAATCAGATCAACGCCACATTGTATTTTGGCAATTCTTTATTTTTTCGGTCATTTTTGCAACCATTTATTTGAACAGTGAAAAAGTAACCAAATCATGATATCCGGTCATGACGACCGAAATAAATACCATATTCTAAAGTGCAGTTGTCCGCATGGGCTTACTCTCTTTTGCTTCCTAACCCCTTGCTTGTTTTGAATTGAATAAAAAAACTAAAAACAAAAGGGTAAATTACAAAGACCTCCCATGTACTGGATGAACGGGGGAATTGATATGGATTTCAACGACATCAACATCCCATAAGATCCAATCTTGAGTTGCAGTTTTGTGAGGGATGTCGTGAGTGATGGAATTCCTCCAAGGAGGAACACCGCCATTTGTATGCAAGAAGTTGCCGTAGCGAGTCTTGAGCTTAACTTGAAACCCTCCCCTGATGGGCTCCCACTTGACGGAGGAATCCAGCTTTCTGGGTGTAGTCTGAAGAACCTTCTTCCCGGTCATTCCAAGAAGGAAGGCCTCATTAGAGGCAGTGAGATTTCTATCATAGCAGCTCTTGAGACGAACATAGTTCCCCCCTTCAATGAATTCAACACCCCACTTGGCGTTCCAAGACGAACCATTGCGGTCTTGGGACACCGATTCTTTGTCTTCCTCGACGAAGAGGTACTTCTCGTGGTGGCTCCGGAGACAAACAGCCTTGGCTTTGTGGAAAATTTCCATTGCTCCACTCTTAATCAAACTAACCATTTCAAGATTGCAATGTAGAAGAGGCATACCAAATGGGATCAAAGAAAGAGCAGAGATACACTCCTCAAAATAGGATAGAGAGAATTGATCAGAATCAGAAATAACAATATATATATAAAATCTGTATCTAGGCTTCATTGCCTGAATCAAATCAGTCAGTGAATAGGTTAAATAGGTTTTAAGAGAAAAAGGGCAAAAAAAAATAGAAAAAATTTAGTGGAGTATTTTGATAATTTAACTCATTCCATTATCTGACTTAATGGTCAAGGGGTCTTTGTCTCACAGTCATAGTACAAGGGGGTCTTTGTCACAGAACAAAGTACAGGGGGTCTTTGTAATTTTACCCAAGGAAAAAACAGGAGCTAATTACAACCGAATCTGAATATAATAGGATTCAGTTCTCAAGACCGTGCTCACACGGGTGGTACATTCCCTTACAGCCTTGCATCGGTAATATCTCCCATTGAAAAAAAAAAAGCATTTTAAGTATGGAGATATTCTCAATGTATGGTTGTAAAAGACAGAATGGTGTGATCACGGTCTTGTCCGGTTTCCTTTAATAGGGGCATCTCTTAACAGCAGCCCGTGCATCACCCGGATCTCTTCTAGTTCACCCTAAAGATAAACCACCTAAACAAGCACTGAATATTTCTACTGCTCTTGCATGGTGTACATGCAAACATGTAGGTGATTTACCTGGTCTAATCACTTTATGTAGGAGCGAGCATTGTTTGGTTAAAACTGAAAAACCGTACCAAAATTTTCGGTTTTGATTTATTTGATTTTTTTTATTTAATTAATTCGATTTTAAAAAATTTAGATTTCGGTTTCAGTTTCGATTTTCAGGATTGAAAATTCAGTTAAACAAAAAAACCGAATAACAGAAATTTATTATATACATAATAAATTACCAGTAACAGAGCCAAGGAAAGACTTTCCGGTTCCTGGAAATCTGGATTCTGGAGTTCGCGAGACACATTGATGAGAGAGACGGAAGAAAGCTTCTCCTTTCACATCGTCGATGAGAGAAGTCGTCCAGGACGTTATAGTGGAGCTGCCTCGAAGGAAGGAGGAGGGTGAGAGGGTGAGTGGCCGACGTAAAGAAATCGGAAGCCGAAGTCCTCGAAGACAAACTCCGCCGGTGGAGAGTCGGGTGAAAAGAAGGTTGACGAGAGGCTCTACAAGTAGGGAGAAGGCAGTTGGGTCTACGCGGAAGAGTAAGCGGAAGACGCGGTCTTAGATCTCCTTCTGGGGGTTAGGGTTGATAAGGTAGCCCCTGTTCCTGTTGAAGGGACGGCGGAGGGAGACGGAGGTTAGGTCCTCGCAAGCTTGGAGATGGTCGGCGATGAGCCATTTAATGGAGGTGGTCGGGTAGCCAGGACAATTAGGAACCACCACCAATGGGTCTCTCGCTATCTCGACCTTGCAGTTGCAGAGACCTGAATTCATCACCATCATGTTTGACATCTCTCCCAAGTCCCAACAACTTGTTTCAGTCCGTTCCCGACTTTGCTAATTGCAACGAGAAGACAAATAATCATACTGTAGTTTCGGTATGTCATTAAAGCATTTGATCTGGATTTTAAGCTTGTGGAATTGGACCAAACAAGAGATCAGATCATGCTGGGGGTGGTGAATAATCATCTTAATTGGCTTTGACAACCTGCACTTTTTGGATCACTGAGCAGAGAAGATATGGAACCGAGTTTTGCTTATGCCCAGATTTCTCAGAATTCAAATGATGCTGACACTCAGTAAGTGAAGGCTTATACTGGACCCAAACATTGTAATCCAGAAACACTTAAACCAAGTTCCAACTTTATTTCTAATCCGGAATGGGATTTTGTCAAACTGAATCCAGAAAGAAATTCAAGCACCTGGACCAAGAAATCCAGGAAATAGGCATTGGAGGATGGATTTCTTCAGTATTTGGCTTGCTCACTTATGATAGGAAAAAGAGTAAAATTCATACGTTTTTCTTTACTTCATTATTATTTTTCTTTTCATTACATGATCAACAACTCCTTATAACCAACTTGGGGAGCAGAGATGCGCAAACACAGTGAAACAAAATCAAAGTTCTGTCCCCTGAAGGAGATTCATCCAATGTCGCGGTGAACCAGGTCATAGAAACATGCAAAGCTCGGCCTCATATGATCACATTACTTCAATTGTTAAAAGACATTCTTTGCTTCTGACTCTCAGTTGGCACCTTCACATCTTTTGCTAATCCAATAGCTTGCAGAAGTCTCACCGTATACCAAGTAATGTCGAGCTGCCACCACTCTAGTCCATGTCTGGCAGAGTACTCAAAGGCATGGTGGTTGTTGTGCCATCCCTCTCCAAATGCTAGCAAGGCCACCCACCTGCACACATCCAAGCTCACAAATGAGAAGGAACTCAAATGAATTGAGAATGAACAAAGTTGGTTGACGATCCAGTACCAATTGTTCCTCGATAAATCTCCAGTGTTCCAAGCCTGCTGTCCCCAAACATGGCAAGCTGAATTCACTAGCCAGGTGATGTGATAAACCCACACAATCCTCGCACCCTGCATTATTTGCTGAAGTTATCTGGAGGAAATATCTTCACATTTTGAACTTTAACAGTTAAACCAACAATGTCTAATCCTAACTAGTGGACGATAGACAGATCCACAAACTCACATGCTGAATCAGTGGAGGAGGACACCCTCAGCCCATGGTCTGAAAACTCAATTTAAGGTTCAAAATGGAGCTGGCCCCCCAATTTGAATGGTCTGGACTAATAATACAAGAGATAAAGGACTCGAGGCACACCATGAATGAGATGGGACCAGGCCAACAGGGCCTTGATTCACTAAACAGTAGAAATAAGCAATCTTTTCAAGGTATGACGTTTGAGTATGACCAGGGAAGATAAAGGTTTTCAAAGTTAGAATTGCTCTTTTCATACAAGATGGGCTTAAGTGCTGAATAAACAGAAAGAAAGGTGGTGATATCCTTACCATGCCCCAGACTAGGTAGGGAAATCCGCCCACTGCATATAAGACAGCCCCCAGTGCAATCGGATGAGCGATATACGTCCTCTGAAGGAACCTGTAGAAGGGTTGCTTCTGCAAATCCCCAACGTTATTGGGTTCTCCGCACTGCAGAATACTTCTTAGAATTAGCAGACCCATCAAATCATATGTTATATTGGAAAGAAACAGAGATATTGAAAGAGAGAATCTCTTACCCTCTCAACAACAGACCTGGTGTCGAAGAGCCAGCTCATGTGACTGAACCAAAACCCTTCAATGGGACTATGCGGGTCTCTATCTGAATCACAGAACTGGTGGTGGTACCTGTGCGTGCTCACCCAATCCATTGGGTTCCCCTGCGACTCATGAAAATACATTAACTAGGGAAAAGAAAGGCATAACCGCATAACTCGTTTTTCAAAGCAGAAGAGAAGAGCTTAAAAATGAAATAGGTAGTCACTGAATATGCTCGGAGCGTCACTCTCTCACCTGGAGGGCCTGAACTCCGCAATAGGCAAAGAAATATTCAAGCCATTTAGGAAGCTTAAAGCTCCTGTGGGAAAGGTTTCTGTGGAAAGAAAGAGTGATTCCGAATAATCCAGTCACCACATAGAGCGCCACAGCCACCCAGAACGCTCCCCAATTGAAAGTGAAAGGCGCAAATAAGCACAGAACATGCATCGCCAACACTACCCCTGCCGTGGCCACATCCAGGGAATTCCACTTCCTTCCAAAGTAGACCCTCCTCCTCTGCTTCACCACCACATCAGACAACAGAATCCTCCCAAATTTATCCTCAGCCGCAGCCGCTGCCGCAACCAGTAATGGCCTCGTTCCTCTGTGTCTCCGGCGGTGGCTGGTAATGTCGGAGACGAAGAGGGTCCTCCTCCTCCTGCCCCCCACATTCTCCCCTCCAGATACTTTGAAGGCATGGAGACGTAGAGCCCCACCAAAAGCACATACTGAAGATGGTCTGGGCAGCGCAGTTGGAGGGACGGAGGGAGAAGAGAGATTGAATCTGACATTGGATGATGCTGCTAAGAGAGCCATGAACGGCTATAAGTACGGTTGTATCGGTGAGTAGATTGAATTAAAAAAATAAAATAAAATAATGGGTTTTACTGTTTTAGGAACGGATTCATGGCTAGGCTGGAGGGGGGGTCTCTTTCCAAAAACCCCATTTCATCCCAGACGTGTGAGAGTGGGAGTGGGAGAGAGAGAGAGAGAGAGGAGGACGAGCAGAGCGGAGCGAGCGAGATACGTTTATTTCATGGCAGAGCTGGAGACTGGAGGTGAGAAAACAACACCAACGTGGCGCTAGTGGTGATAAGGTGGTGCCACTTGACTTCGGCCCATGAAATCAATCAAAAAGATAAATATGAGGAGTGGAGTGAATAAGAAGTGGGCCATGAGCCCATGACGCATCAAAAACGTAGAAAAATGGAGAGAGAGAGAGAGAGAGAGAGAGAGAGAGAGCAGAGAGCAAGTGCCCATTTGAATGGATTCATGTGGTGTGGGCCGGAATATTGGGTTGATGATAACATCGGATCAGTAGCCAAGTCCAAACCACAATCAAAAAAGGAAACCTAAAAAGCAAAACAAGAAGATGAGAGAAACGTAGAATTTCAATAAACACATGGAATGGAATGGAAAGGAAAGTAGGTTTTCTTTGGTTTCAAACATTATTTAAATGCTTAGGCCGGTTTCAGCCTTTCAGCAGCTGAGTTTGGTATTTTTGCATTCACTTTCTATATATGGTCTTCAGAAAGTAGAAAATTACGGCAAGTTCAATTCAAAAAGAAATAAAATAAAATGAAAATTTCTGTGGTCATTCTAGATTTTTTTGGGAGGACTGGGACATGTGAATCAGGGTGCACATATGTTGTTCACACCATGAACATCCGTTGTTGGAGACAGATAAAAATTTGTTTTATGTTTAGCTGAAACTAGTAATAGTACGTGCTATCCTCATATCCAAGTAAATATTATATATAACGGAAAAGTGTATATATCGCGGATCTGAATCTTACTTCAATATTACACAATCCTCATCCTAAAATACCAATACCTGCCTGTGTATTGACATCAATTTCGAGTGCACCTATCCAATAGTATTGTGAGGTTAAGAATTCTTAAGGTGTGCTGAACGGTCATTCTCCCTTATATATAGTATTTGGATTTAAAATTTGGGAACTGTACCGACATTATGATAGGTATGTGATTTATATAGTATAGATAAATATATGAAATGAGATTGAGCTTTTTCAATAAGTGAATATAAAAGTATGTTGATAGTTAGGGCATTTAATAAGCACAAAAACTCTTGATGGAAATATTTGCCACATCAAGTTAGATTAGAACAAATAATAGAGGAAGATCTATTTATGAGTAAAGTATATATGCATTGTATAAGGCAATTTTAGATAATAATAATAATTTCAATGTTTTTATTAGAATCCATAGAACTTCAAATCTTACTATCTTCATATATATCAATGTTTGTAATTTGTAATCGACTTGCATAGATTTCTGAGACGGTTTCAATCCAATCTTTGCTGCAAAAATAAAAAAATAAAATAAAATTATTGACTTTATCAGCAACCCAATCACTTGAATGGTTGAAGTATTTAACTATTTGCCCTGGTCAACAAGTCATGATCTAATATCAATTCTCTTTTTATTTTGTTTTTTTTTTATTTTTAGTCATTCCATCATAATAACAATAATTCTCATTTATTGTATATATATTTTTTAATATGATGAATATGTAATATTAGAGAGACACCCAAATTTTCTACAAAATATGATTTTTTTGTATTTTTCATTTTTACTATTTGATTTATGACATCATAACTTGACTTATTTGATCTAGAGAATAATGTAATGCAATTCCGGTTAGTTTTTAAAGCATTGGTCTTTTATTAATGTTTTTTTATCTTATCATTGAATCGGCCATTTGACCACCACACTGCTTGCCATTTGAACTGGTTGACCCATCACCTGACCAAGATTCTAGGTCCATTTCACCACCACACTTCTTGCCTACAAAAAAAAAAAAAAATCATTGAGTTAATCAACAAATGGTGACCTAACAAATTGAATCATTGGACCATTTGAACTGATCAACAAGGTCACACATTAGATATTAAGGGCTTGTTCGATTGATCTGACGTTTGACCTCTGGAAGTGCAATAATTAATTACATTAAGAGGTATATTGGTATTGGCGAACTTTCCTTTCTTCTGAACTCTTAATGTAGAGAATATTGTTCTGAATTCTGAATTATGAATTTTGAAAAATGTCAAATGTCCAATTTAACTCCATATAAGAGAATTTTTATTTATCTATATAATTCAATAAAGAAACAATATTAAAAATTATTATAATAAATATTACCTAATATTAATTATTATTAGTAATTAATTAATAATAAATTAATGATTAATTCATTAATTATTAATCACTAATTAATAATTAATTAATGCTTATTATTAATAATTAATATTTATTACTAACAATTAATTAACTATTATTAATAATAGTTGATTAATTAATTAATAATAAGTAATAATAATTAATTATTATTATGGTTAATTAATAACTATTATTAATAATTAATTAACTACTATTAATAATGATTGATTAATAATTAATTATTACTTAATTATGAATTATTATTATTATTAATTAATGAAATATTATTAATAATTAATAATTAATGAAACTGTATGATGATAATTAATATTGTAATTAATTAATTTCTATTATAATATTACTATAACATATTATAATGAATATTATAATATTAACCATTAATTTATAATGTTGGTAACATTATATGATTATATTATAATATTAGTATTACGAATATTCTATTAATATTATATCATTACTATTCATAATTTATAATACTATTTAATATAAATAATTATTGGTTTCATTATAATATTATAATTGGTAAATAATATTCTAAATAATTAGTTATAATAATTAATATAAGTAATTATTAATAGCACTATAAGATGATAATGAATAATATAGTTAATGAACTATTATTATAATAATAATATAATATGAATATTATAGTATATTATGGGGAAAATAAAATATAGGTGGTGGGTCCGATGGGTCTTCACTTGAGATGTTCTAAGTTAATTGAGCATTAGGGGGGCAATATGGGTAAAATCTATCTTTTCCCTACAAATTTTCTATCTTTTCTAAAATATTTTTATTTTTATTTTTTAATTATGATAATCATGAAAATGCAGGTTCGAGTATGAGCTGCCACTTTGGGTAACAACCTTTTCAATCTGCTTCTTTAGTAGAATCTATCATTGAAACATTTTTAGCTGCACAAATATCCTAATCCTATTCAGGTATTAAACCTAGTCCAAGCGCCTAATCTACCATTGAAACATTTCATAGCCTGAAACTTTATCTCTTAAGGCTGTGTTTGGTTGCAGTACAAATTTATTGGCACTAATGCAAAACTATGGTAGTGCAAATGATTTAGATATAAGCTTTGGTTTATTTTGTTTCAAAATTTACCCTACCTTGTTTGGTTGCAATAAAAATAAAATAAAATAAATTCCAAAATAAAATAAAGTAAAACCCAAAACAAAATTAAACCAAAATTTGCATTTTTTTTTATTTGCACTCCTATACATTTATACTAATGCAAATAAAATTGCACTGCAACCAAACACAACCTAATCAACAAGTGGAAGGAGAGATGATCTTCTAGTTGGATCACTAGCTAGGTGAGGTCCCAATGGGTGAAGAATCTTGGTTGTGTTTTTGTAATAAGTTAATTGGATGGATTTGATTATATGATACCTTTGAACTTATTAGTAGTAGTCAGCACCAATGAATGAACCAAGGAGGATTATATGGGAATTGGCCTTTTAGTGCCTCCGAAATTACATTTTTCTTTTGTTTCGCTTATATCTGTGACCAGTGACCACATTCAATAAATATTGACAGCTACTTTAGAATTTTGTTTAAATCATTTTAAGGGTAGGTTGAGGATATTTTGTGACAGGTTGACAGGTGTCACAAAATTTCAGTATTTGGTAATGCGTGTTTTTTTGAACAAAAACAACCAAAAGCAAAAATACTTGTGCATGAAGTCGTTTTGGATTATTTAACTCTTTTACTTTACACTTTGAGCCAAATCATAATGCATAAAGTACAAATGTATATATGTTACATAACAAAATTTGTGTCGCATGGCATAACCATAGGTTATGAGACAACTGGTGGAATTTATCATGTCATATATGATAAAGCAACAACTGTGATAAAACCCCTCCCTTAGATCCCGCATTGGTGGGTTCCTCCCTTTCTGTGATAAAGCAACCAAACACAAACACTTCAAACTCTTAATTTTAAAAATAATATTCACCAAATTGCAAAAGCACAAAATAAAAAGTATAAAACATATTTCGTGCTTCTATGTTTTGAAAAAGCGAAACTTATCCAAACATAACCTTATTTTTTAAGATTGATTTTACCTTATAATCACATTAATTACTAGAATTATCTGAATAACTATTTATATGTATTCTCGTAGATTAGTGTAGAGACATGTAAGGTGTAAGTTGATATTTATATAAAAGTTAACTTTCATGACCTGAATCAAAATCAAGACGAGTACCGCTTTTTATAATAATATAGATAGCAATAGCGGTTATTAATGACATCATGGTAACAAATCAGATCAGGTGGTATTCATCAAATTTCGCCATGAGTTTGAATATTGGTCAAAGCTCTTCCTTTCTGGCATTATGGCCTCATTCACGTCTTGGTAAATGGTTTATTTGGGTAAACACACTTAATTAACACTTTTCAGATAAGAGTACTTACTAATCTTCTTTTATTCCTTGTGTAATAGACTTTTTAGTTTGGGCTTGGTTTTGTCTCTGTATTGAACCCAAGCCCAGCCCTCATATAAAACCCAGTAAAGCCTGGGATCATGTTTGGGCCCGACCAAAATTTTGAATTTTTTTTTATTTAATAAACATTATTTTATTATATTAAAAGACCTCAAAACCCAAAAATTATGAAAGATCTCACTACTAGTTGAAAAAGATGAGAGAAACAAAGAAAAGACATTATATATATATATATATATATATATATAATATTATCAAATCATGCTCAGGCCTATGCTTTTTTGAAAAAACCTAAGTCCAGTCTAAAAAAGGTCCGACTTAGTGTTTTGGGCCCAAACCTGAACTCAAGATTGTGGGCCTAAAATCATGTCCAAGCCCGACTTAAAATGGATTAGGCCAACCAAATTAGGCTACTCGACCCATGAAACTAAAGATGTAAAGTGACCAATTTATTCAAAAAAGTGTCTGAAAGGACTATTATTGCATCAAGTATTAGTCATTTTTGACACGCAAAAATAAATAAATTACCCGAGAAATGTATTATTTTTCAGTTAAATGAGTCGCTTAAGAATCCTTTTTTTCCTGTAATACCCACTGATACCAAACAATAAAAATAGATATATTTAATTTCCTTTGTAATTACCAACTTATCCACCCCCACTTCAAGAAAAAAAAAGAACGGGGCCTATGCATCTCCTGCTTACAAACTCTTCCCACATGACACTACAGCCGCGCATTGGGAATCTCCTCATAAATAACAAGAAAATATTCTATTTAGATGGCTGTAGTGTCATGTGGGAAGAGATAATCGGTAAGAGATTAGGAGTGCAAAAAATCCATATATTGATTTTTTATATCAGATATTTTTTAATCTCACCCTGATATTTTCTCTTTATGAGGAGATTTTTTTTCATTGGTTTTTGTGGTTAAATCTCGTTTCCTCTACGTTCCTCTTTCTATTATTGGATTAGTTGCAGTTGCAGGCCTGCAGTTCAGTTCAGTGACTTCATTCTCTCTCTCTAACCCGCACTTCTGTTCTCTAGGTTGAAGTCATTTGGCTGGAAAAGCAACAAAAAAGCCAAAACATCTAGCGATTTCTACGCAACAGAACTGGCTTCCATGGCGTTGTCCACTTCTTCAATCTTGTCTTCTCCGTCGCAACGTAGCTCTGTTTCTAGCTTCAACGTCGGTCCATCTGTTTCCCACATTTATGGTGCGCGCCCCTTGTTTTACTTCCTCCTCTTCATTTTTCTATTGCACCGAAGCCAAGAAGCAGAATTGGTAGATACTAGATAAATTCGAATTCGTTCTTGCTACTTCAATTTTACTAGCCTGTTTGGTATGATATGATTTAGTAGAAAACAGGGTTTTAATTATTCATGCCCTGTTCTTATCACGCTTCCCAGAATTCATGCTTCTAGACCATTAATGTATGATAATATGAATTTTGTATAAGGGGATTTAGTTTTGTTGGTGTTATTGTCATATGAAGATAGACATTGTATCATTGCATGTTCTTCATTCAAACAACATGGTAGTAACCATCGATTAGGATCTTGCCATAAAAGTTCTCCTCAAGGATTCAATTTCGCAATTTCGCTCTGAAAGTGTATTTTCCAAACTTGATCCTGATACAAGTTGATTTTACAAGCGTGAAACTCATATTTTTTTATATCATCTAAATGGTTGATTCTATCCCAGATATAGGTACTGGAAAAAAAAAAAATTCTTAGATCAAGGCGCATAATGCAAGAAAAATTATTGTTCTGTTACGGAACTTAACAAGTTCTCAAGCAGGTAGTTATTTCATTGGGGCTCCTTTGCGAGGGTATCATCCAGAGAAGCGGAGGGCCAACAAGACCAAATTGAAAATAAGCGCTGCTGCTGTTGCAACAACTGCCACAGAGGAAATCAATGAGTATGTCTCTGCCTCTAATGGCTTAATAATGCTTGGCTTGGGACCCCCATATGTATTCTTGAATAAGGAACTTGTATGGCATGACCCTTGCACTCTTGCCAGTACTGGGTTTACTAGAAGGTATTCCAGTCTTTCATTTCCTGTCCATGTAACCTTCTTCAATTATGGAAGGTCATTCTTGCCATTGATGTTAGCATGCAGTCAGGTTGGGAACTTGGGATTCACTGTCTATGGTTTTAACCATGGAGACTTTCTATATCCAAAATTGGTCCAGTTGGATGATTGTGAACCGTTATTTGTCTATTTGGACCACTTTTGTTTTTAAATCCTTTCCCATGTTGTCCTAACTGTCGGAAGGATAAATTGGATGAGTGCGACTATCTGATTTATGATCATCTCAGCTACTGCATAGTTCAAATTCAAGATGATAACTCAAAAGAGGTGCAAACTGCCAAACTCATGCAAAGTAAGATTATGGTTAGCATATGCAACCAAGCTGCTAGGCAGAGACCTTTTTCTAATGTTTTGAATTTGCAATATCTCATAGGCCAAAAGATTACCCAAACAGAAATGTAACCATCATCTCTTACATGATGGCCCTTTTTGTTATCCAATCAAGTCATTTTTTCATAGAGCATTAATTTATTAGGACCCTTCAACAGGATTCTCAACCACAGACAAAAGAACCTTGTTCTGAAGTAGAAAAATGCCAATGAGTTAAATATTTCATTTATCAATATTAAGTATTGTGAGACATGTAATTCTTTTATAAAAACTAATGGACAAATCTATTATTCCAGAAAGAACGATTCCAGAAAGATTTTGCCAATCAAAACCCCCCGTGAATTTTGATGAAAACCCCCCGTGAACGATTCCAGAAAGAACGATGCCAGTTGATTGGTTACAAGTTATTCCAGTATCATCTTTCTGGCATCATATTCAAACCCGAAAACTACATATGCTATCATTCTTCAAAAATCACAGACACAATGCAGTTGCCTATGATATTTTACCATGGATATATAACCTGTTTATCATGCAGGGAGGGATGCTTGTCTTCTTTTTCCTTACATTATCTAGTTAGTCATACAGTTTGTGTTCTGGATCTTCCCATGGCCTGTACTTGAAGCTTGCACCCTTATCCCTCCCTAAGAAATTTAGCATAACAATCTCAAGAGAAATCCTCAGATTTTGCTGACTGTTGCTTCTGTGAATCTGATAGTAATAATTCTTTTTGGTAGGCAAAGCAGCCCAGCAGTTAGTCATTAGTACTGAAGGCTGGATTTATGTCTGGGGAACAAACCTACCCAGACTCTACCAAATGGCCAGCTAGCATCTTCAATCTGAAACATTGCTTGATCTAACAACTTCTAAAATTCCTTGTTCAGGTATTCACTTCCTACATGGGCAGAATTTGACCTAGGAACAGCTCCTGTCTTCTGGAAAACTACGAATGGTCTTCCACCCTTGTCTGTATGTTGGGCACTGCTTCTGAGTTTAAGATGCTTGTGTTTTGCTTTGTTGAATTCTTCCACTGAATCTGTTCTTTGATGGTTTGACCTTTGACAGGGAGAGAAACTAACACTCTTCTACAATCCGGCAGCAAACAAAATTAGTGAAAATGAAGAGTTTGGTATTGCATTTAATGGTAATTTCCTTCATCATAATAAACTTCTAAATTTTGCTACGAATTGTTCAGTGCATTATGAAGTTCGATATCCAGCTCAACAGAAAAGTGGCCTGTGGAAACTACTTGATCAGAAGTTCCATCCCTTTTAATAAAATATTTTTATATTCTTAATTTTCAAACATTTTTCTGTTTGATTTATCAATTTGTTTTCCAGGGGGGTTTAATCAGCCCATTATGTGTGGTGGTGAGCCCAGGGTAATGCTTAGGAAAATTCGGGGAAAAGCTGATCCACCAATATACACAATCAGGATATTTGTTCCTAAGCATGGTTAGTGAGGTTTCATCAATGCTTATACATGCTACTTGGCGCTCATTTAGTTTCTTATGGGCTAACTTTTTGCATCTTTGGCAGCTGTCAATTTGATCTTCTCATTCACTAATGGTGTTGAATGGGATGGTCCCTATAGATTACAATTTCAAGTTCCTAAGCGATGGCGAAACAAGCCAATAGACTTCTTCAATGAGGTATCATGAATACTGAAACCTATGATGCAGGCAGCCTTGGGCTATATTTATACAAGTTACAACATTTACCAGTTTTAGAATTGGTTGAACATTTCTCTTGAACTGAGCATTCAATCCTATTAATAAAAGTATAACAACCATTTCCTACATGCAGGGTCTGGCAGAAGAATTGAGCAAGGAAGGTGCCTGTGAAAGAGCAATCTATCCAGATTCAAATACTATCATTACTCGCTGCTCCATGATTGGTAATTTGTCTGTTGAAGGGGTAAGTATGTAGGTTTCTCTTATTCTTTTCGTTTTCTGTCTTTCAAAATCCCAAGTTATTTGAGTACAGAACTGTAAGACAACATTTGTTGATACAATGGCATACTGCTGCAGGGCGACCGCTGCAATCTTGACCTTGTTCCAGGATGCACCGATCCAAGCTCATCCTTATTTAACCCACTTGCTAATGTAGATGATGGATCATGTGAAATAGATCTTGACTCTGATGAATAGCATATTCAATAGTGTACTTTCCACCCTTTTCATGCATACCAAAGAGAGAGAAAAAAATGATACAATTATATGATTATATCCATGTACTGTAACAGGGTTTTACCTTGCATTTCTATGATACATGGTTAGAACTGAGAAGCATAGGGCTCGTGCCTTGTGACATTCCCTAGGAACATGCTCAGGAGTCATGAGTGAAGACTGCAGGCATGAGGAGATAAGTCTGAAAATCACCAAGAAATGTGAATCCAAGGTAGTGTACGAAGCTATAGGTCCAGCTGTCCAGGTACATTCTTTTTATCCAACTGGGTATTTAACTGTATAACTAAACCATTAAATGCCTCAGGTCCTAAAGCAGCTTATTCTGTACTCGGTGCTTAAAAAGTACTGGTGATTTGGTGAAAAATGGAGGAATCAGCTTTATTTCACACTTTTATGTTTCAGTTTTGCTTCAATTTATGTGTTACATTATAAGGCAATCTGCATGTCATCATAACTCACGAGGCAAATAGCTACTTGCTGGCTAATTGATACGGTACATACTGCTAGTGTGGACTCTCTCTTTCATGGGGCATATCCATAAGTTGGAATAGTCAAGAAAGCATTCTCTAACCTGGATGTACACAAAGTCTCCCTATTTATGCATTCTATGCAGGTATAGGCTTTAGGGAGGTCATTGATTATGCCCAACACGAGAACACAGAGTTTAAGTAGCTACTCTAAGGGGGCGTCTTATATGATTATATCAGCTGAATTGGCCAAACTGAATTGCTTATCAATTTATCTTTTAACAAATACGCAGTTAAGTAGGGCAGAACTTCCTTAATCGATGAATGGTTTGTTTGGGTTACTATTTTCAGGGAGAAATGATCTAAAGTTTTATTAGTGATCGTTATCGCTGGTCTGACTGTCTGAGTGGTCTCTACTCTAGATTGCAAGATTATTTTCGCATGGGAATTCTAGATGTAATTGGATGTTACTTGAAAAAAAAAAGACAGAACATTAGATAAGAATGGTAATTAACTCGCAAAAATGAACGCAAATTTTATTGTTTTATTTGATCCATCCAATGGTTTGAATTTGGCTACGTCATTTGATACAAATAAAATGAAAATCATGATGGTGGAATGGCCCGTATGTAGATAACCCTAAGGCCCGTTCGCTTTTTGGTAAGTTACTTACCCAGGTAAGTGTATTTACCCATGTTCTTTTATTTCTAAGGTAAATAAGGCAATGACCATTTTACCCATAGAAATCCATTATTAAAAGGGGTATTTTTGCCCCATTCAAATATTGACAACTTTTTCCCTACGTGGGAATGTTATTTACCCACTTAGGAGATAGATATCACTTTCCTGTGTAAGAGATACCCAAGAAAATAAACTTTCCATGGTCCTCACATAAAACTGAAAAAGAACATGAGATTCTTAGACAATGGGAATCAAAATCCCATTGACCAACTTTCCCCCTCTCCAAATCCAAAAAAAGAACGCCCCCTAAATAGGAGACGGGATGGGCTCTCCATAGAGCATGCCCCACAGCCCATCCCTCCCCGTGAACTGGGAACATCTCCTCACGACAAGCATGAGGGGGATGGGCTATGGGGCACCCATGGGGCATGCTTAGTGGGGAGTCCATGGAAATGAAATTTGACCCATCTCAGTGGGGCCTCGCTCTGCCCTGCCTCAGTTGGGTTTTTTGACAACAGATCAGGGTTTGGGATGGGTTTGAAACACTGGGATTGGGGACGGGTTCTAGGTACGTTTCAACAAAATAAAAAATAAATTTTTAAGTATACAATAGGAACGATCGAGTTGTGGCGGAGCAAATTCAGGGATCTCCATTCCCCGCGAGAAGGGAGATAGGATTGGGATTTCTAGCCCTGTCCGGGGATGGATGGGGCGGGGCATTTGAGGTCGAGTGGATTAAATTTAGGTTCAAAGATTAAAATATTGATATGCTTGATAACCAAAGTTGGCTATCGGTGATCCAATGTTCCATTTTTTTTTCATTTTATAAGGATTATAGGGATGGGATCTATATATATCCCTCATTCCACCCCAAAGTTTTAAAACTTTTAAATGATGTATGTATTGGTATAGGCATGTGTATCTAGGTGCATCAAATCACATGGATGTTTTGATATAGGCTATTTTTGGTTTGACAGAAAATAAGAGAAACAAAAAGTTGAGAGAATGTTCTTAAGCAATTTGGAAGTTAGAACCTTTTAGGATGTGTTTGTTAAAAACTAATTCAAAATTTCCACCACCACCCTCCTACATGAGAGATCACATCTCCGCCCACAACACCCCACAACACATCACCGCCGTGTATTGGGAACATCTCCCAATGATAGTATCAGTTCAGATGATGTCATCATTGAGAGATGTTCTTAATACACGGCGGGGATGTGCTGTGGGGCAATGTGGGGAGGCTCATTGTGGGGCGGAGATGTGAACTCCCTACATGAATCTCTTTCATATAAAGTGGGGGATCACATCATCTTGTTTCTTACCACACTCCCAAACAAATGACCTTCCTCATCCTACTACCTCCTTTCTTTTTCATTTAAGGTGAGGGCACATGTCATTTTACTTCTCACCATGGTTTTTAAAAACGAACCGGTCAGGAGTCCAGTTACCGGTTCGAACGGTCCGACCGTTTGACTCGATGGCCGACCTGTTCTGAAAAAAAAATTAAAAAATTAAAAAATTAGAAAACAGTCAAAACCATTCGAACGGTTCAAACGGTTAACTAGCCGGTTCAGCAGTTTGCTGACCAAAATCAACGATTTTAGGGAGGAAATGCGGTTTTGGAGGAAAACAGAACTGGTTAAGTGACCAATTCCCGGTTTTTCCGGTCCGACCATCTGATCCAATCCAGTTTTGAAAACAATGCTTCTCACAAATATATAACACAAGATAAACCAAATGTAAAAACAAACTAAGAATTACACTGACTATTTGTACTCCCATACATTTGGGAAGAGTGCAAATTCAAATATGTTCAGTGTAAAACTTTGTATATGATATTTCTAAACCTTTAATTGCACTGTTTATATATATATTTATACTCTTCCCAAATTGAGCCTTAGAAATTAGTAGAGGAAAAATGATTAGCACTGTTAGAAATTAGGATAATTCTATGGTCACTGAAGTCAATAGCAATATGAGGAAGTACAGAAGGTTTTAGGTCCAAATGCTAACATAATAGAAGTTTGAAAATATAATGAGAGATTGGCTCGTCTTGGTTGACAAATCTCTCAGGTAAGATTGAAAGGACAAGGAATTAAAAGACAAATGATATCAAGTTAATGATAAGAAAACCAAGTTTAGTTTTTTAACCCCAATCCTTACTTTGGGGCGGCCACCTCCCCAAAATCCAAAGTACAAAAGGACTCCCTCAATCACTCAACCCCACCCAAATACATCAACAAAAGAAAAGAAACACTAATTGTACATGCAGTCATGCAGATAGGGATTAGAAAGATCTCTTGGAACTTGGTTCTACGAATTGAAGGTCAAATGTACTTCCTCATCTATATCGTTGTTAGCAAGAAAGTAAGGACATTGATTTCCCTCATTTATTAGCCAAGAAAAGAAGGTATCCCTTGTTTTTTATGGCAAGATGGGAATTAATGAGGTTAGGCTCCTTAGTCCTTAGGGGCCCTAAGTGAGGTGCATTGACAGTAACATGAAAGACTAGCACTTAATAGCCGAATTGAACTATCAAATATAATAGGACCCACTAATTAGGTATATAATGAATATAGAATTAAAAAAAAAAATGGATATAGAAAAGAAAACCATTCCAGACGTGTATTAACGACACTCACAAACTCAAAATTATAAAAGATCAACACTTAAATTATTAAATACTTTATTAAAATTTATCTTTTTTCTGGGGTAAATTCCACTTTGAGGCTAGTTTCACCTTAGTATCCTAACTTTAAAATATACCAAAGTACAACGATTTCATCCCATGTCTCTGCTACTGTTACAACAGTCTTTTGCAATTTTGTATTAGAAATATCTCCCTATGAAATAAAACATACAGGTATGTAGATATTTTAAATGCAAGGCAGTAAATATGCTCTGTCCTGAATCAAGCCTATCTCGTCAGAGATCTTGTCAACCGACCATCAGTTGATAAAAAAGCTTAGTTAATTTGGGTAGAGACTTAAATCAAACAGTTGCTATTGACTTATTATTGCCTACATAGACCCATATGAGATAAAAGAGATGGAAAGGTTGACAAAAAACATTGAGACTGATCCGTGGGTATGGCTGTCTTGGTTGGCAAGCATGGCTGTGTGAGATACCCAACAAAACCCATTAACATTTTCTTCTAAGAGAAAATTCCATTTTGTATCCTGAACTTTGGGTAGTGTCAAGTTAGTACTTGAACTTTCAAACGTGTCACTGCAGTATCTAAACTTTCAAAAGGTGTCAAGTTAGTCCCTGCCATTAACCAACTGTTAGTTATATGTTGAAAATGTCAAAAACAACCGTTCAAAAGAAGACATTGTTCATTGTCTTCTACCTTTAGACTGAACTAGTTTTCCTCAAAGAAAAAGAGAGAAAAAAAAACATGAAATATGATAGAGGAAAATAATAACTGAAAGCAAAGAAATTACTAGATAAGAATATGTTTTAGATTTAAAGGTAGAAGACAATAACTTTATTAGTCTAGAATCTAATACCTCAAATGGTTCAGTCTCAAGTTAGAAGACAATGAACAGTGTCTTTTTTTTAGGATAGTTTTGATATTTTTGATAGATAACTAAGAGTTGATTAACAGCAGGGACAAACTTAAGATTGAGTGGGTGGGATACCATCTTCTGTATCGTCCAAGAGAATACACCAAAGAGGGCTGCAGTCTCTCCGTACTGGCAGGCTTGAGTGATACTAAACAGATCTACTTGCCCGAGTGGGTCTCACTGTACTACTCCAAATTTTAAGGTTTTCAGAGTTCAGACCCAATTTTTGTACTTTGGGGCTTAAAAGTGTTTTTTGGATTTTATGTTATTATGTTTTCAAAAGCAAATTCTTACCAAACATGAATGAAAACATAAAAGCTGAATGAACCATTTGAGGTATGAAACCCTTTTCTGGTTTACCATTTGAGGTATGAAACCCTTTTGGGGCTTAAAAGCTGAATGAAAACATAAAAGCAAAAGCTTATCCAAAGGAGCAGTATGAAACCCTTTTGAATGCCAGATACTGTAACTCATCCTGAAGACACATAGTTACGTACGTGCGAATAACGTAGAAAGAGGAAGAGAAGAAACATGAATGAAAAAGTCAATAACAGCATCTGAATTGTAATAGGTTCGCAGCATAAGCAATGATCTTCACTATTAACCAACGCGTGCCAGCTACAGAGAATCCCAAATCCAGAAGAAGTGGAAAATAAAGCAAAGACAGCTTTTAGTCTAATTAGTCTGTAATTCGGTACAGATTCTGTTCTCACTGTTGATGGGAAGAAATCAGAAGAAAAGTTAGAAAGGATTACTGACATATCAGCGATTGCTTATCTATCTTTATCCCACCGGACTGTGTTTTTTTTTTTTCTTCTTTCCTTTTTCGTTTAGAATGAATCGGGTTAAATTAAAGTAAGATCTGGTGGGTAGTTGCAGCTGCTCTTCTTCTTTTCTTGTCCTCCTCGTAGTTTCCGGCTAAAGAATCGAACAACCAGCCCGCACCGACCCCGACAACCAAGTCGATCGTGTAGTGGCCCCGGGTCCCTAACAATCTCACCGCTTGTAACACGTTCAAGGTGTCGAACAAGCATGCCAACTCTCGCCGCTGCATTCGTCGCATATCCAAAGAAGCAATCACCGATCCCGCCACGTGACCGGAGAAGAACAGGAAGAAGGAAACATTCCCTACCGGAAAATCCACGCCTGAACCTAAGAATCCCTCAGGCAATGGCAGCTGGGTCGAGTAGCCCAGTATTCCTCTGCACGTGAACATGAATAGCGCTGATATGGTCGCTCTTGGTCGGCCTTCTACGAGCCATGACCACAGTATATACATCGTTTGCATTCCCACGAACACCTAACCATCAGATTTCATTGGCATAGATAAATTAACGAATTTGGATTTTGGAAAAATAACGTCAAAACTCGAAAGAAAAAGGAAAACAGATAACTGGGTTACCGTATTAAGAGCGGCCAAGGCGGTGTTGAGGGCAGGACGAGCAGCTAAAACTCGGTGAAGGGGACGAGTTAAGAGGAAACCCAGATCGAAAGGTGGAGAGGAAGGAGGAATCATGAAGAGGGTGTACTCAACGCCCATGAAGAAGAGAAGAGAAACCGCGAATATGCAGGGGATGGGATGGTACCTCACCACATTCACCGCGTCCTCCATCGACCAACTCAGGAAGAAGACCTTCCTATTTTGTCCCACCATCGCTGCTGCTTTGAACGGTTTCTTCATCATCTTGGTGTCACCCTTATTGTGGCTGTGGAGGTTGCCGACGGTGACGCCGTTGATGGATTTCCGGTCTCTACTCTTCCTGAGGTTGGTGTAGCTATGAAAACGACTCCCCTCTGCATCCATCGTCGTTGCAGCAAACGAAAATCGCCATAGACAAAATGCCAGAGAGCGTTATATATATGATGAGAGAGGGATGGCGGAAATACCAATCACATACAGGCGCGGAAGTGATGGGTGACAATAGATTTGAATGTATTGCCACGGATTTGCCATTTTCCTTGTGCTTATGGGCTGGAATCTGGACTTAGCTTTGGAGGCCCACTAATCCACATGCACCGAGCACCACTGGATTAGATCAATCACGAAAGTAGCATCAAAGGCGCCTTTTGTTAATTGGACATGGGAGTACAATAGTGTAATAGGATAAATACATCAACACGCAAATCAAGATGAGTCGGTATAAATCAGTTGGGATTTGGGAAGGTTTTTCCAAGGTAGAGGGGTCAAAGCGATGGAATGTGCTTTGGTGATGAAAACGTGTCCGTTGACGAAGGGGTAAATGAAAACGTGTTTTTTTGTGGCAAATGAATGTCCATTGTCCAGGGGGTTAATTGTCAATGACCCTCTAAGTAAGAGGATCTTTGTAATTGTCCCCGTAAAATCGGAGGCACCCTGAATGGGCCAGGTTTTCTCCGATCTTAACAGGGATGGAGAAGATATTTTTTCTCCTGAATTATTGACGGGGTTTGTATATAATTTCTTGAATTTAGCTTTAAGGCGAGGATGAGGAGGGGGTTCCGCACCAGCCACCAAGTTGCTATTCCTACTTATGAGCTGAGCTACTCAAAGAAGAGAGATTATTCACTTAGTCCCAAAAGGACAAAATCCAAAGACGGTCCATCATTTTAGGGAAAACATTTCTTTGGATCATGTCACATGTGAACCCCAATGAAATGTGAATAGACAAATGTTAAATAAAATTTAGTTGATGTGATTTCTTGAAATTGTTGCAAATGTTGGCATGTACACATTTTATTGAGGGATTTTGATTGCATCAATTTAGGCTAGAATTTGTAATGCAATCGTCTAAATTCTAGTAAATAGAGTTAAACCTTTTAAAAAAATAGTCTTGCCAAAATGGCAAATACCTGAAAACATTTTAGTTGCTCAGGAGCTCTTTAATAATGTGAGAAGGAAATAAAATGAAAATTAGGATTAAAGACTTGCAAAATTTACATAGAGAAAACTTATGATAGACTTGAGTGAAAGTTCATAGAAAATTCTCACTAAATTTGGATTTAATGACAAATGGATCAAGTGGATTGTGGAGTGCATCTCTTTAATATCTTTTTAGACTCTGATAATGGCTTTCCATCAAGGACCTTTACCCCAGACAAGGGGACCCCTTATCCCTCTATCTTTTTGTCCTATGCAAGCAAGCATTAATAAGGCTTGTTTGCCACGAAACCACTAATGATCAAAGATCAATATATTAATATGATACATCTCATATGGAGCATATTGTATCCATATCACTGATCGTGGAACACATGAATACATCAATATACACAAGGTTTTTGAGGTATAAAACTTTGGGATGATAGAATTCATCGCTTTATAAAATAAAAAATGAACAAAACAAATTGGGGTATTTGTCTTCTTTTTTTTTTGTTGTTTCAGAGTATTCGTCATATCATTAAGCATTAATACCCACTTGTTAGCATTGGAAACATTGATATTTTGATCCACTCCAATAATTAAAAAAAAGTCTAGATTGCATAGGTGCAGGGGTGCTCTGGTTCCTACCCTAAACTTTATTGATGACTACCTAATTTTTATAAGGGCTTCAATTAATTTACCAAATCAAGTTAAACTAAGTTGAGGGAGTGGAAACAAAACTATTTTTCTCTAGCAAGATAAAATCTTGAAATTCCTGATGAGATTTGTTTATTTTCCAAAGAAAATCTTAAAAGTATAGATAAACTTCAAAAAACATTTATTTGGGGTAAAAGTGGTAAAAAAAGCCTTTGCCGTTAATAAAATGGGAAAAACTATATGTCCCTTGAAAGGGAATGTGGGAGAAGTCAAAATGTTGGGGAGGAGTTATTCAACTTCTTTACAGAACCTCTCCCCCTCCAAAAATTCCCACCATAGAAACAAACCAGAATAGTATTTTAGTCTGCTTTCAAAAGAATAACATGTTGTTTGAGTCTTTAGACTATCTTAATCCTCAAGATTGGCGTTAACATGGAAAAAATATTGAAGTAAAGGAAATTCCATATTCATTCAAAAACTGGGGACCCTTTCATTTTGAAGAACAAATTGAGTAAGAGATTTTGCTTTCTTGGAGGCTTGCTGGGAGGTATAAGGAAGAAACTAAGGAAGGCTAAGCCTCTGCCTAAAAAAGGCAAACATTGGGGGTGGCAAAAAGCTACAAAACTTTCGTTAAGTTTAACCCAAATTTACTTGGGCAAGATTAGAAGTGCTCAAAACTTAATGTTAGTGGTTTATCAGTTCCAAAAGAAAAATCCAGGATGGGTTCATTATCTAAATTTAAAGATGGGGATAGTTTTCTGAGAGGGCTTGCGGGAGTTGGCCCTAAACAACTCCCTTTAAGCAGCGAAAGAGTCCTTAAGGAAGGAGAAGCCTGAAATTGTATTTTTTTTAGTGAAATGAAGTGCAGCCTAATGAAATGTTGGAAACATCTCAAAATGCTAAATAATTGAAATTGTTGGAGGATTGATTCTAGATGTCTCTCTGGAGGCCTGGCTTTGTTCTGGAGTGATCAGTTAAAAGTTGTTGATATATTGGCAACAGATATCTACTTAATCCATATAAGAATTGTGGAGGATACAGGTAGAAGTTGGTGTTGCTCATTGGTATATGGGGAGCCTGAAAGAGCAAAGAAGTTTTTTTTTTTAGGGAGCCATGGTTATGTATAGGAGATTTCAATTTGATCTTCAATTTGGATGATAAAATTGGAGGAAGAAAACCAAAACTAAGAGAGATCAGAAGAAATAAAGAGTTGTTGAGATGTTGGAAAGTGAAAGAATCCCAAATTGTGGACCAAAGTACACTTGGTTAAACAATAGAGAGAGTCAGGATAACATCAAGGCAAAATTAGATAAGGGAGTTTGTAATGTGGTGGAAAGAGATTTTCCTGCATGCAATAGTTATGTCTTTGTCTTCTTATGGTTCAGATCACTTGCCAATTTGTTTGAACACAGATCCTATAAGGAAAGATCTCAAGAAACTTTTCAGAGATGTGGATGATGCATGAAAAATGTGAAGAGATAATTAAAGAAAACTGGATGGAGACTAAAAATCAAGAATGGAGCAAAGATAAATGTAATCACATGAGGAATGTCTTAAGGAAGTGGAGCAAGGAGGAGTTTGGTAAGATCCATGAGCAAATAGAAAACTTTAAGAAACAACTAGCAAAGGAGAAAGCAAAAGCTAGATCAAATTTCAACTATAATAGAATTAAACAGTTGGGAGGGGGGAGCTTGATAAGGTCTTAAAAAAAAGAGCAAGTATATTGGGCCTAAGGATTTAGAATCAATTGGTTGACTCATGGGGACAAGAACACAAGATTTTTCCATAATGCAACCATAAGAATGAGGGCAAGGAATATGATTCTAAAGATCAAGAATAGAGAAGGGAAGTGGATTGAAGGTAACTAGTGTGCTTACAAATTACTTCTAGGAAATCCTATCCTCATATAACCCTTTAGAAATTTTGGCCCCAGAGGAGACTTAGGCAAGGAGATCCTTTGTCCCCTTACATCTTTCTAATCCACTTTGGTGTTCTCTCTGCTATCTTAAACAATATGATAGAAAGGAAAGAGCCATCAGGAATCAAGATTTGTAGACAGGCACCAGTGATATCTTATCTTTTCTTTGCAAATGACAATTATCTGTTCTCAAAAGCAAACCTTGTGGAAGGAAACAAATTGTTAGAAGCCTTACCAATCTATGGAAAGGCATCGAGTTCAATAGGTAAATTTTGAGAAATCTGATTTTTTTTTTAGTTCTAACATGCATAGTAGGCTTCAGAAGATCATGACTCAAGCACTTAGAATTAAAAAAAAAAAAAAAAGTCTCAATCCTTTTCTATACTTTGAAGCCTTTCCAAGTATATAGTGAGGAGAAAATGCCAAATTTTCAACTATCTAAATGAGAGAGTTGAAAATAAGAGCAAGAGTTGGAGGGGAGTGTTGTTGTCTCAGGCTAGTAAGGATGTGCTCATAAAGGCAGTGCTCACAGCAATGCCTACACACTACATGTCATGCTTCTTGGTGCCTTTCAAAATATGTAAAGAGATAGCCAAGACTCAAAGGAAACTTTGGTGGGGGATTCGGATAGTGGTAAAAAGGTTAGATGGATCCCTTGGGCTCAGATCTGTAGAAATAAATCAAATGGGGGATTGAACTTCATAGATCCCCCACCTTTTCAATATTGCTTTATTGGCTAAACTAGCGTGGAAACTTTGTATGGATTCAACTAGCTTGTGGGCCTCCTTGTAGAAGGCAAAGTATTTTCCCAATTTTCATTTTCTTCAAGCAAAGCAGGGAAGCAATGCTTCCTAGGGTTGGAAGAGTATAATGGAATGAAGGAAATTACTGGAGAAAGGGATCTTTTGGAAGATTAACACAAGGGAGAAAGTTGCTGCTTGGAGGGATCCTTGGATTCGGGGCATTGAAGCTTTCATACCAATAGGTCTTAGACCATGTTAAAATAATGTGTGGGTGGGGGACTTTATAAACCAGGAAACAAGAAGTTGGGATGTGGAGAAAATTAGAAGTTCCTTTTTCTACTTTAGAAGAGGAAAAAAATCCTAAAAATAGATCTATCAAGGAATCAATGGGAGGATGAATTAATTTGGATTCATAACCCAAAAGGGAGGTTTACAGCAAAATCAGCTTATTGGGCAGCAGTTCAGGAGTGGAATTCATAAGACTGTAGTAGAAATAGGTATGGAAGAGAAAGAGTGCTATGGAGTATTCACTGGAAGATCCCTATTGAACCAAAAATCAAAAACTTTTTGTGGAAATGTTGTCTTAATGGCATTCCAATGAGGAAGAATATGTTTAGAAGAAAGTTAACTAGCTCATCTTTATGTCCAAGGTGTAATGTAGAAGAAGAGACCATCTCTCGTGCATTACTCCTTTGTGATAAAACAAGATGTATCTGGTTTGGTGTTGGATGTGGGTTTAAACCTTCAAAAGATGTTTCAAGGGATTGGTTCTATCAAATTTTAAAATACTATGGAAAACAACCTTAAATTTACTGGCCCAAATTTTTACCTCTCTATGGGAGATATGAAAGGATAGAAACTTATTCATCAATAGCAAATTTGATTGGACATATATACAGAGACTCGGTTTGAATTCAGATTCTCTTGATTCTTTAGATTTATATATTTGATCTTAGTTTCATTGATTATCCTTAAAATAATAAGAATAAAGCTAATTGTAATTGGGTATCTAGAGAAGCGATAATTAAAAGAGTCCAGAGAGTAGACTCTTAGTTAACCTGAATCTAAAGGTTATGGATGGTATTGACCAAGATTCCAACTCATGGAATTGGTCTCTATTGCCTATACCAATTAAAATTTAGCAAATCATGTGATATCTATAAGGCGACTGATTGAAAATTGATGTAACATGCCATAAAATATTAAAAAATGCACCATAGTTGCACTCAAAATAGAATTAGAGCAAATCCATCGCTAAGGTGGGGCAAAAAAAAACCTACTATAGCTTTAATTTTCATTGGGAATTTGGAAAGCAAGAAAAGAAATGAGGTGACATTCAAGTGCAAACAAATAAATCTACCCCAAATTATTGAGAAGACTTGGCACATGATGGAATATCTCTAACAAATAAAAGTCTAGAGTGCAACAAATTAAGAAGTGGAAGAAGCCGGATTTGGCTCAAGTAGAGGGCTCCAACTTTGGTCCTTCAAGGAAAAGATGGCAAATCTATTTTTGGGTGCATTAGATGAAATAGAGAAATATGAATAGTAGACACTACCATCCTGGGCGGTGATGGAAGCTCATGGATATGGCAAAAAGAAACAGTGCATCTTCGGTTTTTGTTTTTAAAGAATTGAAAACAAGCATATTTATATTATGGACCTCATAGTAGAATATCAAAGAATAGGACAAGAGAAAATCGAATACAAGCAGATTTATATTTAATGAGAGGCCAACCACCAACCAAGCTGCTGATTGGCTAGCAACGCAACCACTCTTTAATAATTATATTTGTCTAAGGCTGTATTTGGTTTGAAAGACAAGATATTCCCTACTAGTCCCTACCTTTTTTTAAGTCTACTCCAATTCATTTGGCATTCTTTTTTATTTTAAGGACTTATTTGGTTAAAATGTCTCCATGATAAGTATATAAAATATAGTAGGCATGTTACTTAAAATAAACTTGGATCTAAATAAGTGGTGATCATTTCTAACCCCACCCTACCACAACTGAAAATTAATCTCTTGGCTACAGCCAGTTTCCAAAATTCGAAATAAAAAACCAACACACCATAATAATGTTTCTGCATTTTGTGGCAGAAATTAATTGCGAAGCAATGATCATCTGCAGAAGATAAGAAATGATCAGAAACCACTTGATTGAGGTACCCAAAATCTCCACCTCATGTCTCAACCGCAAAGGACAGATGAGCCTGAAAAGCTTGGGACTCGGACAAATGAGTTTAAGCCCCTGTTTGGGAGTGTCTATTTCACAAATAAGTGTTTAATACTTGGTGGAAAAGACATTTATTTTAAACAGAGGTAGTACAGATATTTTTAGAACAATGCGATGGGCCAAGCCGGGCCAGGTAGGAATTAAATGCTTATTGAACAAGCATTTAAAAATAAGTTCAAAACTTTGTTTTCTTAAAAATGGACTTATTTTGTATAAAGTGTTTATTGGTGTAGTCCCTACTTAAAAATAACTATTTATTCGAATAAGCACTCTCGAACGGGGCTTTAAACCATTTGAGTTCGGTAGCTTACTGCGATCCAGAAAGTTCAATGGGCCACTGGTATACTGGTTTGACCAACATGTCCAATCCGTCCGAGCGAACCGGATATGTATTGTTGGTTGTTGCTTTTTTCCTATCAGATTCACGTTGAATTTTATTAAAAAGGCGTGAATACACCACCATACTCTGTTGGGAAGGTTGTGTCTTCTCACACGAGAAACATTGAATCAGGAGAAAGTTGATAAAAAGAAATGGAAAAGAGGTAGGTCAATCGGATTACGGATGATGATTCATTTCCCGGTTCCCCCCCTTCAATTCTCCCACGATGCTTTCAGCTGGCCATTGTCGGTTGATTTCGATAGGTAGTGTTTGGTAAACTGTGTCTAACTGGTGGCCACCACCGTGGTTGGTGGTCGGATAGACTGTCAGATAGTTGCCATATGCCATGTATATATCTAACACCAACATTTTGTTGATGGAACAATTACTGAATTTCATTTCGCAACAAACAAGGAAAGAAAAGAACACAGAAATGGACGTTAACTTATGGCGAAGTATCTGTGGTCAGAAACTCAGAATGCAAATATATATATATCAATGTCCCAACCACCTATAATAGCTAAGCTACCACCGCTGTTCTAACTTCTAAGTACATGTGGTCTCAATTTTCAACAGTACTTCTGATGAGGATTCCAACAAACGTATATACATTCTTCACTGGTCTGATATCTCTAAGTTTAATTACATCCTGTTGGAATAAGAGTTTTGTCTCAATGCTTGAATGATCCCTCAACTCTGTTTAAACTTTAAACTGTTATATTGTTACTTTTTGAAGAGATGAGATTCTGCCCTCACAAAATTTGTCATCACACGGTCCTTACAAGTTACAACACTTGCACTGTGCATTTGGGAACATCTCTGTATTTGTATTTTTTTTTTCTAAATCCACATTTGTTCTTCAGAAAATTGGTCATACCCACCTCATTTGGGAACATCTCTATTTTTTTCCAAAGGTATTCCCAATGAAGGGCCAATTTAGTGAGATAAAGTAGTAAAATTTTATTTTCAAGCTTACAAATGCCACGTAAATGGCAGAACAATTTAACGTTTTATGTTGGAAACAAATAGACCATTCTTTTGACGCTTCTGTGAGCAATTAATTGTCAAGGCATTTGATTAATTGATTCTGGTAGGCGGGTCGGATCGGGTCATTGATCAGGTGGCAAGATGTTTTAACCCAAGAATCTCCCACGTGTGGCAAGATGCTTGGGTTTGGGAGTTGGGACCAAAAACGAACCTGATGTTTCCTACTCAATACTCATGTTAGACACCACTTTCTAAGCTAAGAGGAAAGCCTCAAAATACATTGGCACACGTGACACACCTGGACGGTTAACTTAATTGGGAATGCAAGTGGCCCTTATCTGATGGACGGTTCGGATTGGTCGTATCATCCGCCACATGGGAATAATAGGGCGGTAGGGCCAGTCAGTGAGTGCTATGTTATTTTGGTCGTCACTCGTCAAGGTATGAATGAAGTATTTACTTTATGAAAAGATCCACAATCCTACGAGAGGGAGTGTTTTTTCACTTTTTACAAATTAAAAAAAAAAAAAAATAGACTAACACCAACATAATTCAATCAATCCCTAAACTCAACTACTTGTTCTAATTATCAAAAAAATTCCCTTCCTGTTCCACCACTACCGTGCTCTATCACAGTTCATAGAAGACAGAACCATCAACCATGTTCGAGAAAAACGATAAAATCAGTTGACCTTTTAAAAAACTAGCTGTAGATCCAGGGTGTCCCAAGCCCAACCAGATGGCCACGCATAGGTTTCAACATCAGAGGTCAAGTTCCTAACAAAAACCCAACAAAACGCCAAAACCACCGCAGAAGATTATTGGTTCTAAATGGGCCAAGAAGTAGCCAACCCCAACAAGTGAAATGGGTCACCAAACCCAAACATACCATCCCTGTCCCTGAACACCCACAAACTTGGAATTTGCAATTGCAACAACTAAAAGTTGTTGTCATTTTGGAATCAGGACATGCTGCTGCAGATAATTTAGCAACTATGACCCAATTACATAGGCGGAGTAGTTTTGGGCACATTCAATAAGGTTCCTAAAGATGTTAAAAGATAATTTTAATATTACAGAAGAACAAGTAAAGAACTATAATGGATACATGATTAATATTGATTAAACCCTAGAAAAGAGCCCCATGTAAAGCCAACCCACATTACTCTCTTTCTCAGATTCAGAGAAAGAAACTGTGAAGCAGTTTCAAGAGCATTATGGCATACAAATGATTATTCTCATACATGGGTCAAACAAAATCAGTAAGGTGTGTGGTTGTAGTATCCACCTGGTCCCATACCAGTGGCAGGAGGCATTCCATACTGTGGCATCCCATATGGCATCATTGCAGGTGGACCTTGGGTGTAGAAACCAGTCCCATTGATCTTGGCCAAACTCACTTGGCCCTGCATCCCCTCCCTGGCATACTGCTGCCATAGCTGCTGTTCCTGAGTTAGTAAGTGCTGTTTCTTCTCGAGATCTGCCATCTGCACGTAAGCCGGTGGTGGAATACTTAGCGATGCCGCGAACGGGTCCTGCCCAACTGTCTGGACCGTCCCATCTGGAGCAGGAAGGGCCAGCACTGGCGTTGCACTCTTGCCTGGCCCCGGCATTGGCAATGCCACACTGCTTGCACTGCCTCCGGTCAATTGTGCAGTTCTCATGTGCTGTCTCACAGCCCCCTGATCATACATGCCGTTCAGGAGCAATGGGTCAAACCCCCCGCCCAATGTGGCTTTCTGCTTTGATAGGTTGCTTGCTGTTTCCACCAGAGCCAACTCCCAATCCGCCTTTCCAGCCTCGGCAGCAGGAGTCTGCCACGCTGAGGTTACTTCAGGCTGCCCAGATGCACCTCCATCAGATGGGAATGCCTCCCAAGAGTTATTGCCATTTCCATTAGGCCCTCCACAAAACAAAGCCAGCGCCAACCTGTTTGACTGATCTTCAGCAGAAGCACCATCATCCCTTAAATCCACCAAGTCCGCTGTTACCTGCTGTTGCTGTGGTTTGGGCTCTGGTTCAGGTGGTGGTGGTGCTGGAGTGCAATTTTCCGGCGCAGGGAGAGCCTTTATCTCATTCATATCCTGTTCCGGCTCTTGCGCTGGCGTTTTCTCCTCACGGGGTCTCTCAGGGCTCTTCGGCCTTCTTGCTCTGTCCCTCATGAACTCCTCCAATGTCTCCAAAAGCTTGTCGGTAATCCTCTGCACTTCGGGATACTCCGATGACCTTGCCACTCCTACGTCCTTACACCAATTATAAAACGCCACAAGCTCATCAATCTGCTTGGCTGCAGTAGCATATGCTTCAAAAGATTTCACACATTCAGGGTATTCCATGTCAAAGAATTTATCAAGCAACACAGCCAATATCTCGCATATATCCGCATAAAGCTGGAAACTTTCCTTGACAACAGGGTACAGCGCAACGAGCACCATTCTACTGTTCTTGGCCGTGCCGGTGGGTCGACAGGCCAAGAACCTATCGAGAAGCCGCTGCAGCTGATGCATCCTGCCCAAAACTCTTTCGGGCTTCATGTCCCTAAGCGGCGTCACTGGCTTCCTTTCCTCCCGTCCTTGTGATTCATTTAAATCCCCATAAGACCTAGACCGCCGTGGCGGTCCACCGTAGTTTCCATAACCAGGTTCATCTCTGAATTCTCCATACTCGTACTCATAAGACCGCGGTGGCGGCCTCCACCGGTCGTCTCTGTCCCCAAGCCTATCATCCCTGCCGTGGCCACTGCCACCACCTCGCTGTTTCCTCTCATGCATCATACACTCAAGTCGCTGATCAAGATAGAGCGCATAGGTCCGAACAAAGGCAGAGTGATCCCATGAATTCGAATGCGCCTCATCGCGAAAATCAGACATATTAAGAAGACGAGTTCCCCTGCGAGTCGCGTAAAGGATCTCCTGTTGAAACACCGGATCTCCCTCGTTTAACAGCCGGTGAACGAGAATCAATGCCTTGAGCGCCACAATCCAATCCCGTGTTTTACCTAGCCGCCTCGACACGGTAGCAACACAGGCATTGACGTACCCTCTCGAATACGAAGTCAGAGTCAAGATCTCTCTGATATACTTCTCGTCGGTAGGATCGTAATCGTGACTCGTCGCCTTCACGATCGCCACCTCCAAGTCCGGAGCGGTATTACCGGCGACCTTTGCCAATCCAATGCTGGTCTGGTCCTTAACGGCTCCGATCGCCTTTCTGATGCTTGGCGCCATGCCCACCACCTCCAAGAATTACTTCTGTACTCAAGCTTCTTAAAATCGAAATAGAAAATAGTCATAGACCATCAAATGGAAACTAGTCCACTAGTTCCGCCTATTTCTTTGAACTCTTTGAATCAGAACAAATATCAACCAATCTGAGTTAATTGACTGACCTCAAAAGCAGCGAGAAAGAACGAAGAGACCGACGACGAGCGCACAAGCAAATCAGAACAGGATCAGGTCACCGACAACGACTGCAGACAAGAGTGGTTACAACCTCAGTAGATCAATCATAGCAATTGCAGCGTTGTTTCGCGAGTGATAGATAACATAGCGGCGTGTGTGATTGATAACATTGGTGGTGCTCCGAAGCGGAAATGGAGCCAACACATAAAATAAAACTACAGAACTGGCTTTAACTTTTTAAGTGGAACACATAAAAATAAAATCCAGTGGATGTGTTTAAATCTGGAACATCAAGATTTCGGAGCATTCCGATTTCCGAAATCCGAATCAAAGTTAGCTAGCTTTAGCGAAAGTGTCGGGGGCGTGTCGGAAATCAGGTTTGTACTAACTAGTCCAAACCGGAACTACTCCGAGTCTCCGACATTTTGAAGAGAGAGAGAGTTTTAACTGGGATGCAGTCCGTGTTATTTTATTACCATACAACGCGTGCATTGCACGGGGAGATTAGAATATTAATCGTTTGCTATTTGTAGAATGTTTAAAAGAAGAAGGCGAGTTGAGGACTTTTGGAATTGGGGGGGACCTGTAATCCACTCGGAGCCTCGGACCACTCAGTCCACTCCTGCTATATAATATATTTTAAGGGTGGGAAAAGATCTAGAGCCCAGTCAAAGGACCGTAATACGGAACATCAGGGTGTTGTCGTATTTTCTGTAAAACTTGAGGAACTTTCAGCCGTCAGATCTACAGTGTGTTGATTGGATTTCACAGGCTCTACGGTCACTGCTTTGATTGATTTTCTTCATTAATGGTGGAGATGACAGGTGTACAGGTGAGCTGAAAGAGAATGGGAAGCAATTGCAGTCTGCAGAGCTGACATTGCTAGACCGAATTTATGGTAATAGACGTACGGACGCGTGATGGAACATAATTTGGTATACAGTCGAGTGTCGACTTTTTTGCGAACGCGAAAAACGAAGATCTCTGCCGGTGCCGATGCCAATGAGTTTGAGCGGTTGAGCCTTTGAGGCTTGAGTTGGATCATTGGATGAGGTTGAGAAGTCGACAGTAATCATCATCCCATTTTGATTCATTGGTCATGGAGGATAGTGGTGAAATCGCCCGTAGACCGTAGTAGACCTGGAGTTCGGATCGGGTCGGGTCTACGTCGGGCTCACGGATGTTCGGGTCGTTTGGATCGAGTCCGCTTTTCGGGTTGGACCAGTAAAGGGTGGCCCCTAACCTTAAGTATTCAAGTTAAAATTGATCCACGCGTCAATGTCTCAATCATCTGGGTCAGCTAGTATTTGACCAAGTCAGTATTTTTTTGCCAAAAAAGATGGATTTAACAGTCTAGTTCAAATGGGTTGATGGTTTAACTGTCCAAATGAACGTCTGTTTGAAGGTCACCCTACGAGCTACGACTTAACCTAACCCAGATCAACACCAGCCTTCTTTCAACTTCGGGTAACTAGAGAGGGGACCCTTGATCCATTTAGAAAGGACTAACAGAAGGATACGTTCTACACACATATTTCTAATGTGAAAATACAAATATTGTTAAAGATTATTATTTTTTATAATCTTAATGTACAAAGATTATTACAACTTCAAAGAATAATTGATTACATGATAATTATTATAATCCATAATTATTTATACTATACAACAAAAATAACAAAATGTAGAAAGTGGATAATCACTTTTGTTAAATTAAAAAAATAATAATAATAATAATAATAATGTTATAATAAAGTAAAAATAAAATGCAACAATGGGTTGGGCAAGCACTATTTGTCTTTTTACTTTTTACTTTTTGCAACTACAAAGGCAAAAATGGTGTCAGTTGACATTAAATAAGAATGACAATATACACAATGAAAGATAAGGTACTATAGGTATATTATCTTAGTATGTGTTGGAGGTTGAGGCTTAGTTTTTTAATGAAAAAGTTTAGATAGTGGTGGAAATGACACAAAAAAAAAGGTTTCATACTTAGAAGCAATATAGTAACGATTACACAAACAAAATAAAAATGTTGTTTATATGGGGAATTAGCAATATTATAGCGACGATTACCCATTGTCACCCTCTTTCTCTGGGAAATTAGCAAAATGTTATTTCTTTTCTTACAACCATTTAGATCAAAAGTTGACAATATGTATAAAAATAAAAATCAATAACAATAACAATAATAAAAAATTTTACCAAAATCTAAAATATCACAAAGGGTATTGACAAAATAATAATTTGTCAACTTGTTCATAGTCCTAAATATTGGGCTCAAGGAGAAAGAGAAAGTAATTTAGTAAAACAAATAGATAACAATTCATTTGATTTAATAAATAAATGAATGAATAAATAAAACTTTATTGTGATAGGACAGGTACAAAATAAATAAATAAATTATTTATTTATTTTAAAAAAATAATAAATATTGATACAAGCTATCCTAAACCAAACTTAACAAAATAAATTATTTTGTTAAATAAATAAATTATTTAATTTAACAAAATAAATAAATAAATGAAGTTTATTTATTATTGTGACAAGATTGATACAAGCTATCCTAAACCAAACTTAACCTATTGATAGCTCTAAATGTTGGGCTCTGGTTTAGCTAGTAATAACAATTTATTAGCAAATTATTTCTAAATAAATTAAGTAAATAATTTTTTATAGAAAAACAATTTATTTAATTTAATAAAATGAATAAATAAAAGTTTATTGGAACAAGACTGGTATAGGCTATCCCAAACCAGACTTGACCCACTAACAATCCTAAATATTGGATTTGAGGGGGAGAGAGAGAGAGAGAGAGAATTGAGACGAAAAGAATAAAGTAAGAGAGAAGAAATAAATGATTTACATTGTTTTATTTCATATAGTGAAATGAGCGTAAATAGTGATTATTTTTAAATAAATAAATAATTTAGTAAATTAAATAAATACAATTTTATAGATAATAATTTATTTAATTTAATAAATGGAGAAGGAGGTATTGGGGGAGGCAACCCGGCAGAGCAAGAGGCAACAGTCTATAACAAAAAATCCTTTTATTTTAATAGTAAAAAAGTTAGAACTGAAAATCCAATTTTGTTTTCAAAAAAAGCTGGGAGGGCTTTGGAAAAACAAGGAGGAACTTTATTGTCGTTTGGAAAAATTTTAGCATGCAGAAATTGGCGATCCTTCAAAAGGAAAAAAAAATTAAAAATAAAATAAAAAGGGTTGAGTTTCAATAATGGAGGAATACTATTTAAAATGGGTCTTTTTTATAATAGCCTAAGGCCGAGTGGGTTTCCTTGGGGTCTACTGTTGAAAGAACTAGAAAAGCATAGGGAGAAAAGGGTGGAAGTTTCAGAAATGTGTAAAGGGTATTGAGTCTATCAATTGAAAAAGGTGAGGGAGGCTGCCTAGAATTAGCCCCCAAAGTAGTCATGTTAATTTTGAGTTGGAACTGCCAGGGGTTAGGCTCTCCCTTGACAGTTCGGAGTCTCAAGAGAGCCTGCATGAAAACTAAGCCAAATATAATCTTCTTAATGGAAACAAAATGCTTAGTAGCTCAATGTAGGAAAAAACTGCCAGGGTTTAATGATTGGGAGTGCTGGGGGTGGATGCAGAGGGTCTAGCAGGGGGAATGATAATCCTATGGGAAAATGAGGTTAAATTACAAATCAAGCAGGCATGTGCAAGAATAATTACAGCAGATGTGGAAGATGAAGCCGAGGGAAGGTGGAGAATATCTTTTGTCTATGGGGAACCAAATAAGCAAAAAAAAAGATAACGTTAGGAACCTATGGGAAAGACTGGCTCAATTGTGTGATGGTCCTTGGGTCAACGTAGGAGACATGAATTTGGTCTTCAATAAAGAAGATAAGGAAGGGAGAAATAAAATATCAGAAAGTCATTTGAGAAGGAATAGGGAGCTGCTGAGAACTTTAGGCTGCAAAATCATCCAAAGCCATGGTCCAAGATTCACTTGGAATAACAGAAGAGAGGGGTCAGAAAATGTGAGAGAGAGGATTGATCTAGCTATGGTAAATGGTGAGTGGTTGGATTTGTCTCAGGAGGCTAGGCTCCAACACTTACCAACTGGGGGGGTAAGATCATATACCAATTATGCTAGACACTAACCCAGTTTAGTGTAGAAGGAACAAACCTTTCGGATTTGAAAATATTTGGGCGATCCAAGAGGACTGCCCAAGATTAGTAACAAAGGTTTGGTCCTAGATCAGCAATAGTAGTGGCCAAAAGGAAGTAGTGGAAAAAAACAACAAATTAAGAACTAACCTAAGGAAGTGGAACAGGGCAGTATTTGGGAAAGTGTAGAAAAGAATTAAGTCCATTCAAGTCGAGTTAAAAAAGGAGCAAAATGCCCCAAGCAGTTCCTATACTTCGTCAAGAGTCGGTCAGCTTGAGAAGGATTTGGATGAGGAATTGAAAAGAGAAGAAATGTTTTGGGCTCAAAAATCTAGGCAGAATTGGCTAAACCTTGGAGATAAGAATACAAAATTTTTCCACCATTCAACTTTAAGGAGAAGAGCTAGAAATAGGATAGCGGCTTTGAAGGATGAAGGGAATAATTGGATATATCAGGCTAGGACCAAATTAGAGATCATCTAGTGGGGAATTTTGTGAAGATTTTCGAATCTGTCAACCCAAATGCAGAGGAGCAACTTCTTAATGTTAATACCAAACCTAGTAAGTGATGAAGACAACCAATGGATGCAAAGAGAGATAGAAGAGGAGGAAATAGTGGAGGATTTGATCCAAATGAACCCTCACAAAGCTCTTGGGCCGGATGATTTTCCAAACTCTTTTTATCAATAGTTCTGGAAGGAGGTAGGACCCACCTTTACAAAAGTAGTCAAAGATTTCTTTCAGAAAGGAGAACTTCACAAAGAGATAAATAAAACGACCATTGTGTTAATCCCTAAGTGTAGGTCTCCAGAAACGATCATTGTGTTAATCCATAAGTCTTTGCAACACACTGTATAAAACAATAGCTAAGATAATATAAACAGACTTAAGCCATTTCTACCAAATATTATAAGCCAAAATCAAAATGCTTTTGTCCCGGGTAGATCCATTCTGGATAATGTGCTAATCTCCCATGAACTCATCCACTTTATGAAAATTACCAAAAAAAGAAGAACTTCATGGTTCTAAAGTTGGATACGAATAAGGCTTATGATAAGGTAGAATGGCCTTTTCCGAAGACAGTGATGCAAAGGATGGGATTTGGTCAAATCTTTATTGGGTGGGTTGTGTAGTGTGTCTCTTAAGTCTCCTACCAGCTGATTATTAATGGCAACTTGAGTCAGACTTTCTATCCAGCCAGGGGTCTTAGGCAAGGAGATCCTCTATCCCCGTATTTATTCCTCTTAGTCTCTGAAGTGTTATCTTTGGCTATTCATAATGCTCATTCTCTTCGTAGACTTTCAGAAGTTAAAATTAACAGAAATTGTCCTGCCATCACACATCCATTCTTTGCAGATGATTCCTATGTTTTCACAGAAGCAAACATTGAGTAAGGAGGTCTGATCCTGGAAATCCTCCACCAATATGGCCAAGCTTCAGGACAACAGGTGAATCTCTCTAAATCTGAAATTTTTTTAGTCCCAAAATGCATCATAGATTCCAAAAAATGATATTCAGGGTGATGGGGGTTAAAAAGGTTGTTTCTCCTTCAAACTACCTAGGTTTACCTAAAAGTCAAAAAAACGGTGCTTTAATTATAATTGTGAAAGATTGGAGACCAAATCAAAGAGTTGGAAGGCCAAATTTTCTTTCTCCTACAGGTAAGGAAGTGCTGATTAAAGCAGTGCTAATGGCAGTCCCAGCTTATACAATATCAGCCTTCCTCATTCCTATAGGAATTTGTGAAAAAATTAGGAGAATTCAAAGACAATTCTTGTGGGGGGAGAGTAGCATGCAAAAAAAGGTCAACTGGGTGAGCTGGAGCAATATCTGTAAAAGCAAATTCTCAAGAGGGCTGGGTTTCAAAGACCCTCATCTTTTTAACTTAGCTCATCTGTCTAAGCTTGCCTGGAGGGTGTGTACTAATAAGGATAGTCTATGGTGCAAACTTATAATGGGAAGATACTTAGGGGACAATAATTTTTGGAGCTTTAAAGCTCCCAAATTCTGCTCTTGGGGATTTAGAAGCTTATTGGTAGGGAGAGAAGTGCTAAGGGAAAGGGTTTCCTGGAGTGTGGCCACTGGAGAGGATCTGTCACTGTGGGAGGACGCATGGATAAATGAGCTTCCTCATTACAAACCAATGGGTCCTCAACCCAAAGATAGTGAGAAGTTTAAAGTAGCTGACTTGCTAAATTCATAAATCTCGGACTGGGATTATAGAAAATTAAATGATTTGTTTGACCCTTATACCATTGGAATGATAAGAAAATTTGAAAGACCTAGAAGGGGAGGGAAGGATATTTTAATGTGGAAGCCAGATCCAAAAGGTAAGTTCTCAATAAAATCAATTTATCAGTGTTTAGCCAACAAGGAACAACCATCTTCTCAAAGATTAACCCAAAGCCCCTCTAGAAACAAGCCATGGAAGAAAATATGGGCCCTTAAAATCCCCTAGAAGATAAAACACTTCTTATGGAATGTTGCCATAATAGTATAGCAGTAAAACAAGTTCTAGTGAGGAGGCAGATATGAACTGAAGACCTTTGTCCAATTTGTGGCAAAGAGCCTGAATCTGTTATGCATGTCCTGTTTATGTGTGATCATGCTATATTGTGTGGGAAAAGATGCTCTGGAACTATCTGCTATTGTGCTATGGAATATTTGGAAAGCTAGAAATGGCTTCATTTTTGAGTCTGTATCCCCGAGCCCTTTTAATGCTCTTAGAGTTGTTCGTAGGTTGAGGATGGAAGTGAAGAGAGCTTCCTCTCCAAAATCAATCGACTGTTCTCTGCATAAAAAGTTGGTGGACAAGCCTTTCTTGCAAAGATGGCTGGTGTGTGAGGGGTGTATTGCTATGACTGATGGAAGCTTTGGAGCAGGCTGTAGTGCTTTTGGTTTTTGTGTTTCTGTTAACAAAAAACACTTATTTTTTTGCTAAATGTGGACCTTGTAAAGTGTTGTCTGCTCTCTATGCAGAGGCCACAACAGTTCAAGAGTGTGTTTTGTTCCTTTATGGTTTGGGCCTAAGCTCTATTAATATTTTTCTGTGACTCCTCTACTCTTGTGTCTGTGGTTACCAGGAGATCTTTTAATTATGAGCTTGTTATCTGGTCGATCCTTCACAGCCTATTTGCTTTATTTGACTTCTCTTTGAAGGTAATTTTGGCAAAGAGGGCTTCCATTGGAGCAGCACATAGGCTGGCTGCCATAGGAAAGAATGGTTCTCAGGAGTTCTGGAAGCATCCCCCGCCTTGGATGCTCCCGCCTTTTAGTGTTGAAGATGTGGCTCAGATGCTTGACTTTGCGGAGAGGACCTCTGATCCTCCTTAGTTTTCTGTGGTTTTGTGTTCTGTGTTCTTTGTTCTTTTCTTTTCTTTCTGTTGTTGTGTTGTTTGTTTTCTACCAAAAAAAAGAAAAAGAGAAAAACTCAATTACTATCAAGAATCAATTACCATATTTTTCCTTATTTTTTATTAATAAATTTAAATTTAAATATAGAGGGGTAATTTTATCAGAGAAGTACGGGTACATCTGATGTAGAATTCTGAATTCCAGCCCACCCTACTATTAACCCTCTCCCCCCTATAAACCACATCCTGCCTATGAATTTGGCATCAATTCATGGTCAAGATGCATTCCCCTTGTACTATGGGGTTATAAAATTTTGATATGGGCTGATTGGTCATTCTCCCAAATTTTATCCTTAGGAAATTCCATAAATATACTTGAGGTAATTTGTGCTTTAAAGTAGTATAAATGTATTTACACTATAGATATTTATATTTTTTTTCTTTTCAAAGGATCCTTAATAATTATTTAGTTAAAAAAGTCAATCAAGATCGCGTGGCCTAATGGACAAGGCGCTCGCCTCCGGAGCGGGAGATTGTGGGTTCGAGTCCCACCGTGATCGCGTTTTGTTTGTCACCCTTTCACCGCCAATGCCAAATCAGCGAGAGAAAATAAAAAAATACAGCATTTTCGCAGCAAGGATGAGACCCAAGCCGAGAGAGAGAGAGATCCTAAACGCATCCCACAGAATTTTTTTTTACTCCTTCGATTGAAAATGGAAGCTGAACTTTTTTGCTTTTCTGTTCTATTTCCACCGTTCGTCGCTCACCGGTTTGTATATTCATTCATGGTAGCTAGTAAGGCGCTAGATAGCCCCAGCCTAGAGGCCACTGTTGTTACATGGATTGCTGACACCAATGATGGTCCACTACAAGTTTCAAATGGAGCGTAGCCCAGCAGAAATGTATCCCCATGACTGTGTGTGGTCTCTGGTCTTCACGTTTGCCGTGAGTGTTTTTTTTTTTACTATCTATGGCTCTGTTGGAGCCACCTGCTTTCTCTCTGCTATTGAAAATTTCGACTACTTTCTTGTCCTGTTTTTTGTTTGTTAACCACATTCACAATAGAAGTATAGAACAGAGATTATCAAGAAATTGTGTTGAGACACAAGTAGGAAGAAGAAATTGATATGTGGAAGAGAGATATCTGCATTACATCTCTCCTAAGTCGTAACGGGTCAAGAAACTCTATTCTAAGAGCTATATCAAATCAAAACACTAGTATTATAGTGCTAGAGCTCTCTCAGTGGATAACCCAAAAGCTCAGACATCAAATTTTCAAAATGTACAGGGGTAGTAGGAACTATGGAGGCCGTCTTAAATCTTATTTTCCACTTCTTATTTCAATAATCTTTATCTATCATTTATTTAATTGACAAAGAAAAAAAATATTCTTTCAAGAACCAAACACCTATCCTCTCTCTCTCTCTCTCTCTCTCAACCAAAATTCAACATAGACAAATGATTGCAAGTGAACAACATAATTTATTAGCGTCTGTTGCATCGTTGCCGTTATGCTGTAATTTGCAATAAAAACTATTTGCTCCATTAATTCCACTTCCTTTACCTTGAATAAGCCATAAGGTATGGCATGGTTTTCTCAATTGAAACTTAACGAATCTTATAAATCATAATTGGATACGTTGGTATCGATCCGCGAATCTGTAATCTCTAGAGGTGGGAAAAAGGCAAACATTGATGTGCTAAATCTGATTGAGCTGTTGATTAAGGCTCAATCAAAATTGATTGAATGCAGTTGCTATTTTTTTATCATGTTTCTTATGTTCCTCCCTCAAATGTAGAATTATATATGTAGATCAACCCCATTCCAATATATTGTGTGTTTTGTTGGTATTGCGCATACTCCTATAATTGATCAACAATTCCATTAATCCCTATAAATTAAATCAATACAACTGACCCACCAACTCTGCTCGCCGGTCTTCGTCCTGATTGGAATCACTCAGCCAACTTTTTTTTCTTTTATTTTCCTCAGATTCTTCGATTATAATCGTGAAAATGTCAAAGTCCAAATTCCCTTTCTATAGTTCTTTTTATTTCTGTGTTCATAGTTCTCTTAATTTCTGTGTTCTTGCTGCTGCAGTTGTAGTTTATCTCGAGACTACAGGCAAGCAAAGGGTGGTCCAGAAGTTGAAATCAAGAGAACCCAGATAAGAAATAAAGCCCGAATCCCATGCATGAGAACCCAGATAAGAAATCAAGACCCAATCCCATGCATGTGGGAATCAAGACTGTCCAATTAGAATTTGGATCTAGCTTATGCTAGCCAATTAGACCAACTTTCTATTTGGAGCAGCTGAAGGTTTAAACTGGAATGCATACATGTCAGAATGTGCAGCAGGTGGAAGATGAAGAATTTGTTTTTAAATTCAAAACACTACAACTGAACATCGTCCCATTATAACTCTGAAAATTTTCACTGCACTGCATTCCTTGCTTCCAGACTTGCCTGAGAAACATGAAATTCCAGACAACTCACAACCTACTCAGGAGTCGGTATGTACATGTTAACATGTTAGCCTGTACTGCAGAGGTCTGAAACATCAGAGCAGGCACCCAAAGACACCAAAACACCTTCAGTCGGCATGTACAGACACTCATGTCGCTCCAAATTCGGACAACAGTGACTCCCTTATCACTCGAATCATGTCTGTCAGTGATACAACTCCTGTAAGCAAACCCTGTTGGTCTACAACCCACACTCGGTGCACATGTGCACCAACAACCTTGTCAATGACTTCAGAAAGGCTTGAATTGGCGTAGCAAGTTACCAGTTCTCTTGCTGAATGGCCTAAATCACCCGCAAGATTACTGGGGGCTATTGATATATGCTCTATGAACTCTATAACACCAATAGACAGCCATGACTGCAGTAAAGCAATTGGGCATCCCCTCAGATCGCTTGCAGAGAACGTTCCTATGAGTTTCCTACCTTTTCCCTGCAATACAGTTATACAGGCAAATGGCAAGTCAGTGCTGGAGAAGTAGAACACGTGAAGCAGAACTTAATTCTATGAGTTGTAAAATCACCTAGGATAGTGAAGCAATGTTCAACCAATATCAATGTGGTTATCTAGGTAGTTTCTTTCTTTTTCTCCTTTATTTGGTGTATCAGTTGTGACAGAACCCATGACTTCAGTGTTGTCACCATGGGCACTTTGATTAAACTTGAATACGATGAAAGATTGAAGAAGAAAATGTATAATTGAGCTACTCCAACGGTACATACTATTAACCAACTTCCACAGACAGAACCAAAGTTTCTGTAATATATATGATATAGAATTTCCATTTCAAATGCAGATTGAATAGACTAAATGAATAAAATCCAAGCCTAATCCAGAAAGAAAAAGAATCACTTAGTATAAGAAGCAGCTTGAGAACACATACATCGATAAGCTGGGTGTGATCTTCTTCAGTAGCATCTGATGCTTCAACAATTGGAACAGCACTAAGGGAGGCAGTCCTCATGCATTTAATAGCTTCTATGACTTTTGCCCGGTTGGTTACAGCAAAAACATTTTCAGCAATGACCTTCAATTCCCCAACACTGGGTGATAAGATATTTCCCATCTCAGAGCTGTGCATCCTCAAAAAACTCAAGACATCCATTTGGGTGAGCATCCGATAGCTACATGCTGATTCTTTCAGCTCTGCTCCGGAAATGTTCTCCGAATGACCCTCCACTGGAACCAAAGCACGGTGGATACCTTTGCTCAGCACTTCCATACAATCTATAATGCTGCATTTCAGGAAAAAGAAGAATAAAACACAGGGTGATCCAACATTCATCGAAGGAGGTTGGCATAAGTGTCCACGGAATTAGTTGGGTAGTACACGAATAATGCGTTTTCTACTTTCAAAGAGGATCAGAGATGTCTAAGTAGTCATGAAATTTTAGACAACTAACTTTGTTGAACAATAAACAGCACTCCTGAAGTGAGATATTTTTTTCTCTTCTACAAATTTCCCCAAAATGTCTAATATCCGAAAGTGGTGTTTGGTTTCAGGAATCAAATATGCAGGCAGGTTCTCTGTGTTACCACTCTTTCTTCGAAGAACAAAATAACCCAGGATCAGAGGAATCTAGTATTTGGGTTGCAATAAGGATCATGAGAAACATATACATGAACATGAATATGAAAAGTATGGATTAAGGAGGGAAATGGAGATAAAGAAAGAAAGAACCTGCCTGGTGTTGGGGTTGAGAGTCCATAGACTGAGACCTTCTATACAGTGGCCGATGATGGAAGAGACGGGGACCGACATGCGCTTATCCAAGTCGGCGCCGTCACCGTTCTCAGCGATGTGGGCCAGGATGTCGAACACGGTGACCATGCCGATGTAGTGCTTGCGTGGAGCACCGGTTTGCTTGTCGGACTCGAGGATCATGGAGCCACCGGCGCCGATCCATTGGCCAGGGGGCGCAGCGACGGGGACAGCCACCACATGGTTGGCAATCAAGGCGTTCATGGTGTGGGTGAGGGAAGCCGTGTAGGGGACCTCGACGAGCCTCCTTTTCTCGACCATGAGATCCTTCACCTTCTTCTCCCTCCACCACCATTGACCATGACCACCTTCGACAGACTGTTGGTGTTGGGTGTTGTTCTTCAACTCCATCGCTGCTTGCATTGTCGCTGCTGGCTGACACTAATAAATATAAGTCTAGAGGCTTAGAGAGCTTAGACACAGAGTCCCCCACCCACATTTATACTAATTTTGGAGGAGGTTATGACGTTATGTAATGGAGCGTGTACGTGTCGAAGCAAAGCAACATGGCAGAGTCGTAGTTCTGCCACCTCACGATTAAGCTTAAAAGACGGGACAATTCGGTGTGCTACACATCACAGTCCCATGACCGTCGACTCTAGCCGTCTGATTGGGTGGGCCCAATTTTAAGTGAACAACAAACAAGGCACAAGCTCAACTCAATACCCCGAGTATGATTAAGGGATTGTTTATGTTGTCATTTGTGCGGGAAGCGGTTGTAGGGGCCCAGTTGTGATTTGGGCTTCTATCTGTTTAGGAAAACATAATAAGTAAAAGAGAAAGGTATGTCTAGTTGATATACGAGAACCCACTATAATACTATAATTCTGATGGTTAAGCGTGGGACGATGGAGAGTTGTTGTCACTGGCAGCTTTTCTTGTCCAGACAGGCGAGGGTCGTGGCAATTTTGGAGTTGATTTCTTTGGCATTACTCCCACGTCCCAAAAGCCCAGAAATCAAAGACAAAAACAAAAGCCCATATGACTATATGATCACTACTCAACTCAGTACTCACAAATCTAAAATCCTTTGGAAGTCTGGACCTCGTAGTGGGGAGCATTTTTCTGTTCTTCAATTTGTGGTTCAACCGTTCAACATTTTGGTTGGAAATCAGACTCCTTTGCTTTCCCAAATCCTACACATTTCATTGAGACATTCATATCTACGTACTGTGGTCCAAGTGAAGCGACCCTAATTCTCTACATCCACTAACACATTTCATTTGACATTCAGATCTGCCGTTACCATATGTTTTTCTGTTTCACCGTTCAAAGGATAGTAAGCAATCTAACCAAATGGCGTGTATGCTTGAATCTGGAAAGAATAACACTTTAGAATAAAGTACATCAGAAAAACTCCCATGATTCCAATTTTCAACCCCTGATTTTTGCTTTGCATTGATTGAACTTCACCTCCCACCCAAACAAATACCCACCCCCTCCCCAAAAACAACAAATAAAATAAAATAAATCGAAGACAAAATGCCTCTCATACATTTACACCATCCATCATTTTTTTTCTCTCTCTCTCTCACTTGATCACAACGCACGGGAGGGGACTGATTCCTATCCAAGTGTAGCCAGAGATCAAAGATGTCGCCTTCAAATGTTCCCATGTATCCTGTATGCTGAGAGATTACGTACGTCATGCAGCTACCCCTTTGGATAAAATGCCCCCCCCCCAAGCCACAAGGATGAGTGAAATGAGATGCAAGCGTCAAGCGGTAATTCGTCGTCACTGTGATATCCTTCACCATCACCTCGATGGTTGATCTGAACCAGCCATTCCTGAACCATTCTCTGGAGGTGGTGCGGCGCCCCATTTTCCTTCCGATTCTAGTGGTTCAAGTACATGAACTCCACCATCGCTCAGTCCAACGGCAAACTGATTGGGTTCAGACGGATGAGCCGCGATAACAAGTGGGCACACCCTCAAGCTGCATCAAGTAAAACATCCCATGTATAGAGAGAGAGTTACTGGGGGAGCAAACTTGCAATGTAGATAGAGTCATCATCCATTCATCAGTGACAGAGATAAAATACCTTGGATTAGAAGGCAGATAAGCAGTAGGATTAATCCGACACCTCAATCTGAGTGTTGTAGAAGTGAAAACACCTATACTTCCATCTTCAAAGCTTGTGTAAATGGACTGGCTATCGCAGGAATATGTAGCATGTGTGATTTGACCATTTGGTTCTCGGGCAAACCACTGATGGAAAACAAAGTTTTAATAGTAAGATCACTAATACCCCCTATGGTAAGCACAACCTCAGAAATTCTTGCAATGTAGCAACCAGGAATGATAGAGACCGTGCATGAACACAAGTCAACCAAGCATCATGAGAAAATTTATCACAAAAAAGAAATTACATAAACCCTAAAAAACTGCATGCACTTTCACCTTACCTGCTTAAGGCACTCTAGTTTAGACACATCATATATCGCTATTTGTGTCTCATGGACAGTCAGTAAATGAATCTGATCTTGGTGAAATTGGACACGTGTCTCTGCAAGAGGAGCTGGCACTCTCCCTGTTGGGATCTGCAAGAATTTACTACCCTGCTTCTCCCATTTATCCGTACTCCAAATACAGAGCTGGAAAACAATTAGAGGGGGTGTTAGTGGATAACTCCATAATGGAATTTGCAATTTCTTTAAGGGCAGCAAATTACTGAACCCATGTCTTATTTTCCCCCATTCTATCATCCTTTTTATCCAAATAAAGAAACAGCCACCAAAGAAACCATGTGTTGCTATATTTTTGAGCATTCATACTTTATATAGAATTACAGATGGCATAGATAGGAAGGTATATAGAACTTGCAGGATGTGAATATTGCATACCTGAGCATCAGCTCCTGAAGATACAAGCACATTTAGAACGTTAGAGAAGGCAAGGCCTGTTATTCTTTTCTGATGGCCTTTGAGCTTACTTTTAACCTGTTGAAAACATACACAACAGAATCTCAGTTTTGCTATTACATCTTTAATTAACAAAACCTAGTCAACAGAATCTCAGTTTTAATAATGGATATGGGCATTAAATAGAACAGACTGGCAAAACAGAATTCATGTAGCCAACTACATATAGTTGGGATGAGGCTTGGATGGTGATGATTAAGTAACAAAATCTAGGATTCAGTATAAGAATATCTTAACCTCATCAACCCGGACATTGTAAATTTGAATTGAGGAGTCTTCCATGCCTATAGCAATGATGTTATTGTCCTGCGGATGGAAGGCAAGAAATGTAGCTGCCGGTGGTGGGGGCATGAATGTTGTCATTGTCTAAAGCACAAAAAAAAGGTAAATCAGTATGCACTGTTGGTTGTTTTAGTCTTGAAACCCAAAGAAAAGTGCATGCCTATGACATGCTATTTACCTTGAATGTCATCATGTTGAATAAAGAAATCTTCCCTCCTGAAGCTGACATAACATAAGAATCATTCTTTGAAAGTGCAAAGCATGGAACAGCATCTTCAGGGTTCGTGTCATTTATTTCATTTGTCATTAATATTCCACTTGCAGGTTGCCACAGTTGCGGTGGTACAGTAGCAGTTGCCTACAATTGGTAAATAATTTAGTTAGAGATCATGGGACCTGAGAAGATAAATCGAAAATAAGAACCCATAACCAAGACACACCTTCCCTATGTTTCGCTCATTCCGTTGCCATTTCCAAAGCTTGTGTACTGCATTTGATGCTAATGCCAGTATAGCAACTCCTGAATTTGTATAAATCAATCTGGAAATCTGCAACAATTGACAATATTTATGAGCAGAAGAGGAAAATAAAAATACCATGTAGCCAATCAAAACCTATAGAAAGATCAATGGAAGACAATATAGTTGACTCAGTAATAGAAGAATACTGAATTTCCCAAGACATGTTAATGGTAATTGAATCTTCAAGTTACATGGCAAAGCATGCCAAACAAATCTATTGAAAAAAAAGAGACTTAGAAAATAAATCACTCAAGCAACACAATCCAAGAATAATTTTTGGCTATTGATCAAGAGCCCTATGATGCAGGGACCAAATGAGTGGTCAGTGGTTTGTGTTGCACAGTATTTGACTTGTATGCATCTCAATGGGAGTTGATCATCTCCATCAATTTTTCCTCAAAATGGATTGGAACTGCCTAGTGTCCAACAAAATTTATCAAGTTCACACGTCTATGTCCTTGTAAAGCTCCTAATGTTTACCAAATATCACTAGCTAATCTCATATTTACAGAAAACCATATAATATGTCACAATTGCACAAAATGAACCAAACTCTATCTTTAAATCCCATCTAAGAGAAATGCCAACAAACATTATGGTGGTTATTCTTGGCTAATAAGCAATTCTTATATAATTAGAATCCAGTGAAATAAATGAAATAGTAATCAATGTGTATTTCAATAATTTTTTAAATAGGGTACCAATATAATGTCCAAATAAGGTTCGTGGCTAAATGGTAATACAGATACTTCCACAAAGGAACTGTACTCACTTTAGTTGAACATAGGAAAACCCCCCAAGTCAAAGAAGGAGCTTATTGGCCTCCAAAAGATATACTTTGATGTATGACTTGAATGAAAAAGAATGAAGAGGAAGCAGCTCATGGAAAGCTTTTATCAGCAGGTCTACTGGATGCCCCACTATCAAACAGCTTGAGACCAGATTTAGAAAGAGGGAAAGCCAAAGCACTTAGAGGTAAAGCAGCTTGTGTAGTGCCATCATTTAGGGTTACTGAGTGAGTTTGCACACCATGTACAATGCAGCAAATATTGTATTTAGCAATTTGATACCCACAACAAGCCAGCATGAAGTTCGTCGGAGCCATGAAGGCAGAGCAAGTCAAGGTACTACTAAGTCACTGCAACATGTTAGGTTGCTTTAACAGAGCACAGTAGTGCACCCTCCCACTATAGCCTAATGTAGTAGATCAGTCCTTCCCAAATTCTACTCTTCTTTTTCAAGAAAACTAATCCCAAATTAAATTTGATGATTGCATTGCCATATTAGATTGCGCGCTCTTACACTCGTACAAGTAATGAAAAACACACCAGAAAAAAAGAAAAGGAAAAAATATGAATTTAATTGACGCTGGAACATTCAACAAAGAATGAGGAAGATAGCTACACAATTAAAGTACCAGCATCCTCACCATTACTGTCCTTGTGCCAAGGCTGAAGGCTTTGTAGGAAACAAAGGGGGAGATGCAAAGGATTTGGTGGATTCAGGTGTCAATAAACAATTTTAGGGCATATAGTTTCAGGGAATAAGCATCGAATGCATTCATCAATGATTGAATCAAATATAACCATTTTAGCTGCTGCAGGCTATTGCATGCTTCTTTCAGATACACTTGTATCTAAATCCATGTGTAGCATCCTCATGTCATTGATGCCTAAGCTAATCAAATAACCTACCAAATTTTCACCACATAAAAGTTGCAGAAAAACCTAAATTTATACTGTGCAGTTTTCTTCCTCTTATTATCTGTTTGTTTGTTCGGAAGGAGGTCGGGGGGACATCAGGGGGTTGTGAGTTGTAGAACAGCTCTAATGTCATCCACCTCCAAGCTGACAACTATGCATGTAAATAAAAAATCAGTGAATCCTCCAAATATGTACTCACAGCATGTGTTTGTACATAAAATAAAAGGAGATTAGCTGATATTTTGATTAATATCAAGTAGACGGATCATCAAAAAAGTAGTTGACATGAAGGTTAAACTAAAATGCTGCAGAAGTCATATAGCAACAGGTCACACAAGGAACCAACAAGGTGGATTGGCATCATGCTGAAATTTGAATGAACCAACAAGGAACGTAGACTTGCTAATCTTAAATGTTGGTCTCCATGACACTTGCATGTGAAGATCCAGAGAAGTTGGAAACCCTAGTCAGTAACTTCTAAGGGCCTGTAAAACAGAGTATCCATACCTTCGCTGCTGACAAATTATCAGAGAGCCTCAGGGAGCGGCAATGAGATGGTTCACTGATTTCAGTCAGTTTCCAAATCTTAGACTTCTCTATTGATTCGTCCACAATCCTTGGCTTCACATCTGCCAAACTTCTGCCCTCGCCATTCTGACAAAAATTCAGTATGAGTTACAAGTGGATGCACAAATACTGTGGAATACCCCAACTAACATATCGGCTCAAAAATAGCAAAACCAGAACTGTATAAAGCAATAAATGGAGTGGTTCAACCACAAAAGAATACAAAATAATACATGAATAAGCACTTTATAAGGTAGATGGCCATCCCGTGAAAAAGATTTTAAATACTAACCAGCCCAACCATCGCCGTTACTGGAGCACTTCGATCAGCAACCCCCATACTTGTTCCAGTTGTAGCAGTTACAGCAGAAAATGGGTTAAGTGTGGGCCCCTGCATGACAAATCATCACCTACATTTAACAGACGTGCCCTTGCACAGGTTAAAAGATTCTAAAGATAAGTATACCTTCATAGCAGATCCAGAAGCAACTCTAGAAGCATCAAATGGACGACTTTCTATTGCATGTATCAATCGAAGCCCATCTGCATTTGCAAGAATTTTGACCCCATTGTCGTTCGTTGAAACAGCCAATAGTATACCTTCCTTGCTGAACCGGATATAAGGAGATGGCTAGAAAATATTTGAAACAAAATAGATTAGCAAAAAAACATAAATAAATTCAAATAACCACAACATGAAATCTATGCCATTATAATAAAAATGTAATGATAACTATGCTATTATTATAAAAAAAAAAAAATAGTAATGAAAGCTATTCTACTACTGGTAATCTGCTCTTAAACAAAAGTCAAACTAAGTAGACCACATAATGAAGCATATTCTATTACCGGTAATCCACCATCTGCTTCAGTAGTTGTCAAGAGGTTTACATTGTCCATGTCCCAAAATTTTATTACAGACTCATCACCAGCCGCTAGGAATCGATTTTTAGTGGTATCAAACTGCACAACACCCACAGAACGTTTTCCACAACCATGATATGTTCGTTTCACAGCTCCCTCACTCTCATTCCATTCCACAATATACGATTCCCCATCCTTACTGGTCCCGCATGAAAACAATCTGAAAGCAGTATCATACAGACAGATGCTTCAGTTAAACATCATAAAATTTAAGAACTCAGTCTGTCATCATTGTGATGAGAAATGGAATCATTACAATGAATAATTGAAGGAAATACAAAGCACCATGTATACCTTGTCCCATCGGCACTATATGCCATCCTGGTACAATAATGACCTGGTGCATCATAGTCAACTCTTGACCCCAAGTTATCATACAACCATGCTTTGATCTTCCCATCTAATGCCGTTGAGAAGATAAACTGAGAGAAGAGAGACAGAGAAGAAATGAAGAAAAGGATTGACATCAATAAAATGATCAACAAAATAAGCAAGTAGACCAAGAGGGTTGATTTACTATCAGAAGTTGGCATTACCTGTATATTTTCCTTATAATGTGGGCATACAGAGTAGACAGGTGCTTCATGACCTTCAAAAGTGTACTGCTTGGTACCAGATACTGCATCCCATACCTGCACGCAACCCACAGTTAAACATAGAGACCCCAAGCTTCAAATCCAATCAGAAAAGATGTTTAACAAACCAAACCTTTATAAGCTTGTCATCTCCACAAGTTACAAAGCACAATTGCTTGTTTGGGTGAGAGAAAGCAAGATCATTAACACCACCATTATGAGCATCTATCTGAATAAGAAGAAAGGATATGAAACAAATTCAGCAAATAATAGGTACGGAGTAAAGAAAAGCTAGGGAAGGTTATTCAGAAATAATAAGAACCGTTATGAAAAAAATTATGATATTTTGATTGATCAAACCTCTAGGTGGTGCCGTAGATCATCACCTCCATGGTAAGAAAACACGTGAACAATGTGCTTTGAGTATGCAACACCTGAGGTGGACCCACAGGATTAAACAAGTGGACAGACGAGCATTTCTTAAATAATTATCTAATATTCAAACTTTCTATTCTCAAGCATCTAGTGTATGACGAAGACAGATATTTATTTTAAAAATAAAATCTTCTTTTAAAACATACCAAAAAGGCTTCCATCAGGGCTCCACGTAACACGGTTGACAGATATTGGTGTTTCCTTTACCAGAGCCGCCTAATCACATAACAGACAGATTAACCTCAAGATTGAGATTCTAAGGAGGTCAAATACAATTTTCTTGTTTACTAGGTTTTATTTGGCACAGGGAGTCATACCTGCAGAGGCACTGAACATGCTGAAGGGTCCCAAACCTTGAAGCTTCTAAGCGCAAGCCTATCCCTGCTAGCAACCTCCCACACCATGACATCACCAACATGTGTTCCGACTGATAGAATGCCACACATCAATCAAAAGCCAGACCAAAAATGCATCCTCCTAGAAGAAAAACCAAAGGAGATAGATGTTCCAAATGGACTATATCTAACTAACCAAGAAGTAAGGTTTGATGCACTGGATGGAAATCCAAGCTTCTGACAGCAGAACCTTGATTCAAAGTCATTACAACAATCTTGGGCAAGTCATCAGAAGAGTACAAGCTCTGGGAATGGCTCTGGCTGGCATATGTGACAGGCATGATATTAACAGGTAGGTTATTCACCTGCAAGGAAAATCAGGAAAAAAAAAAAAACAGAATTAGCAACTCCCAATTAACAGTCACAATAATAGTAATAAATACAGAAACAGTAGTAGTAAGAATAACAAGAATTGATAACTCATTAGTAATAAAAGCAAAAGAAAGCATGCACAAGTTACTAGAAATGATCATTAAGTCTTAGTTTATTCCTCTTTTTAATTCAATAAATTAGTTAAGCTAAAATTCTAGACACCAAAACAGAAAAATTAATAATATTACTTAATATGGTGGCAATTATTTGGGCAGGAACCTTTTATTTAGAAGGATCATAATATTTGGTGTAGGAAAATATATTCTACCTCCTAAGCCTTGAAAGAAACTTAAATCATTGCAATCTTTAGTTTTCACTGTCCTTAGAAATAATCATAATTTGCAACTCGTTAAGAATGAATGGGAATTACCTGACAATAATAAATAACAAAGTCATAATTGGTAACCCACAAATCATGTCTTTTAATGAATTAATGAACTACAAGTGCTGCACAAACTCTTGCACATTGCAAAGATTACTATAGCTAACTGCATTTATGTGTTTGCAATTTCTTGGTCAAGAAACGTTCTAGGACTAAAACATCCCTAAGCAGGAAATATTTGTAAATAACCATAATTGGTCCTATTGTTAAAAGGACTTTTAAATCCTTTGTAAATCATCTTCCACAAAAGTCCTTTTTTTTGGATAATTTCCACAAAAGTTCATTCAATTATGACTTTTGAACTTTTTTCACAAGCAAACTATGTAACCATTGGTAAAGGGGGAAAATTAACCACCAAAAGCAACCCAATTTCTAGAAATTCAAATATGTGTATTTGTACCTCATCTGACATCCCCAGAGGCCTTGATCTCTTCAAAACATGTTCAGAATCTGCTGTTTGGTAATCCATGGCTGGGTTGTTGGTAGTAGGAGTCCGAGGACGCTTTAAAATGGCTGTTGCCATGAGAGACAAATGTAAATGCAATAAAATACATTAGTCAACAGATAAATGCTAGAATTTAAAATAAAGGGAATAAAAGGAAAATGCATAGTTTATATATATATATATATATATATATATATATATATATATATTGGAGGAATGAAAAAACCAACTATGTTAGCAACTTAGCACACAAGCTAACATCTCATTCAGAAAACCTGTAATGTATCATACTATCATTAACATTCACTTGTTCCCACATAAACAACAATTCTTCATATGTAATTAAAAAATTTACGTTTATTTTGTGGCACAAAATTTTCTTCAACTATATGTTTAATGAATTAATATATAATATTTAAGTAAAAGTTAATTTCATTATTAACCGTGTAACTTTAAAATCTTAAGACTTTTAAGATACAAGGATTTCCGGAATGTTTGTGGACATTTCTATGTCATAGAACATACATCCAAACAACATCTTAGAAAGAAGTCCTTAAACATCAATACCTGCATTATTAGGAGCAGTTAAGCCCATAGGCCCAGCAGAAACTGCAGGATGAGGTACAGGAGATGGATTAGCCATCCATCCTGCAAGAGATGATTGAAGGGATGCGGGTGCAGGCTGAAATGGCTGAACAACACCACAAGTCAAATTTCTAAAACTTAACTGCCTACTCCTCTGCTAAAAAGAGCTGTGGTTCTTCTAATTTTACTTACACCATGAGTAGCCAGTGCTGGAAAACCCCCTGCTTTTGGAATGGCCCCCATAAGTGGATTAGTGACAGGGGATGGAGCTCGAGCACCATTGGGTTGTCCACAAGTATGGTCCACAAAGAGGGTTTTTATATCAGGATTAGGCCTTGGATTCTTACAAAGCTGGTGTTGCCAATTTAAACTGCAATTCAATATACAAAGAGTGGAACAGAAGAAAAAACCATTTAGTTCCCAGAAAGTAGTCAAATAAACAAGCATAAGAAAGAGGAAGGCATTATTATTTCCATCATGATTTACCTCTGATTGATTAGTGTCCTTAGTCTTGAATTCTTCAGGGTAGGAAACTGAAGCTTATCACGGAAAAGGGGGTTCGCTTCAATCAACTTTTTGAGCTCCGCAAGCATAATTGCCCTAGCAGACTTGGTATCTCCATACTTAGATAGCTGCTCGTTCTCCCTGCAAGTAATAATGCCCGCATGATACTCACAATAGAAAAAACAAAACAAAAGAAGAAAATTAAAAAAGCAATGAAAAAATAGAAACATACCTGAAGTTCTCCAAAGTCAGAAGCTGCGTTATTTCCTTGAATAGTTCGTCGTTAAAAGCAGCGAACACTTTCAAGTCCTTCACAAGAATTTCTACAGCTTTAGGACGGTCATGCCTACAAAATAGAACAGAAGAAAACACATAAATATGGACACAATTCCTCCTCAAATCCTTGAAAGGAGAAAAAGAAACACAGTCCAACTCAAATGAGTATAGAATTAGTATAAGAAAATTAAATAAAATTAAATTCTTCAAATTCACCACCTACTTGTCTAGGGCTTCGAGGTATTTCTGCTTTCGGATCTCAAAGAAGATCTTCATCGAATATCTATTATCATCTACCTTGGTGAATCCAGAGAGATACCTCTCGACCTCGTCCCATTCCCCGTTAGTTACGGCGTCCTCAAAATACTTCATATTGAAGAAAAAACCCGACTCCTGCTCCAATCTTCATAGCACAGAGACAAACCCGACCAGACATCAGCAAACAATCCAAAAATTGTAAATTCAAGCTTCCAAAACCAGAGAAATAGCCAAAAGGGAAAATAATTTCTGCTCCCTACTTGTGGACAGTTTCCTTGAATTTCTCTTCTTCGAGAAACTGAAGTATAAGAAACACAAGCTCTCTGCTAAGAGAAGACATCTTCCCGTCCTCCGACACCGCCGGAAAGATCGAAACCCTCGCAGATCGGTCCAATTCCAGTAAACACCAACTTCTAAAAGAAACCCTACAGAGCACGAAATTATCAAAATAGGGTTTCCGGTTTGAAAAACTTAGTCCTCAGAAACCAATCAACCGACCAACTCTGCAACAACCAGACCAGAAGAGGAAAAAAAACAAAAGATAAAATCAAATTAAACAAAAAGAAAATCAACAACAAATTATATACCCCCTCTTCAATTTATTGGGAGAGAAGGTCCAGATCGGCCGAAGATTTGTAGAATAGGAGCAGCAGGACGACGACGAACGGTCGTTTTGTTAGTCTTTTCTTCCCACTTTCTCTCTCTTCAAGACTTTTCTCCCTATCTCTTCTCTTATACAAACGGATTTGAGGGAGGAAAGATAGAAAGCGAGATGGCTGTGCATAAAAAAAAAGTGATAACCCAGACTTCTTATGATAAGTAAATTGTCCTATCATAAGCCATCTCACTTATGTAGGGTTATTAATATGCCGGAGTAGTTATCTCAGACGGGATTTTCGATATTTCGGAAGGAAATAATAGTGTGTGAGGAATATTTACCATTTTCAGTGCATCGCCCCTATATTGAGTCGTTTTCATCGATCTGAACCGTTAAACCAGATATAGAAATAGGCGGTGATGATGAAATCACATCCAACGGCCAGGGAGGCGACTGCAAATGAACTCGATCCCATGCAGTCACGACTCTCTCATGGATTCCGAAATGAATCTCTGAGAAGAAGAAATGCAAGGAAAGATTCAGTATCTCCCAAGGTGCACCATCAAACGTACATCTGCGACCAAAAGAGCAGAATTCCTGAAGCAGGTGGCGTCGATTGGTAAAGATTTACGTAACGAAGTTACGTATTATGGTATGCCGGGAGTACGATATCGATTTTAGGAAAAAGAGACAGAAGAGGGAAGGAAAAGGAAAAGAATAAAAAAAAGAAAGCAAAGGGAAAGGTGGGGAAATGGGAAGTAGGGTGGGTGACTTAAAAGTGTGGTAGGGCTGACGTCAGCTCAGGTAAGGTAGGGGCGGGTTGCTGCTTTGCTGGAGTTCGAGGAAGGAACTTATTAGAGACCGGAGTGGGACTCTTCCATTAATGTGGGACCCGGCCCGCGGAGGTTTTCTCAATTGGAAGAGCTGCAACAGGACACTGGTTACTGGGTCCCACCTCTTTGTCGATCCTGGCTTATCGGAATATGGGGAGATTGATCACATGGGATCATTACTCATTCTCTTGTTATGCGAGCGCGAGCGCATGAGAGAGAGAGAGAGAGAGAGAGCGCTTTTTGTTTTGGGTAATCTAGAAATAGAACGTGCAGAAGATTCTTAGGACTTGTCATTCACGGTGTTCTCACACGCAACGGGTGCCCATGACAATTGACAAATCCAAAAGCTGAATGAAATCATGTAACGATCGCACTCGCGCGAGTAGAGAAAGTAATCTCACGCGCTTCAACTTTTGTCAACTAATTTTGAGTTTTGACTTGGCTTCTCTGTCTCTGGCTCTTTTCTCTATCTCTACACTCTCTCTCTCTCTCTATCTCTCTCTATCCGTGTCTGAACTCTGAAGTCTGAACTGTCTTGGGTACGGGCCAGGCCAAAGCTTGCACACTGGGCCGATGGGCTCCCGGACAGATAGCACATGGGTTGAATAGCTGGGGGACCGGGAACTATAACTGGGTGGGCCCCACCTTCGTAGAGGCAAGGCAAGGCAAGGCAAGGCAAGGTCAAGGCAACGTTCGGTTGCACATTCTGAACACGTAATTATGATTTGCCCAGTAAACATCCATCTTAGGAGGCATTAAATGATGGGTCTCCATCATAAAACACGTGGCAAATTAAAAAGGCATAATGGCCATAATAATAGAGATTAGAGATTGGAGATTAGGAGGGCCCACGTTTTCCTGGAGACTGGAGAGGGATTGTCACTGAGGGATGCTAAGCTGTACCATGTACCTCCTTGAATCCTTCCCCCTTTAACTGTCTATGGTTTCACGGTTTCATCTCATCTCATATCATCGTGACGTCGTCGTTTCAGAGGATTTTTCAAAAAATCGGGTCATGCAGGGGTTGTCCTAGACAAGCTGTTCCATCCATGCCACATGGAGAGTTGACGTGGCAAAGTTAATGGATTGAAATCGGGAGAATGCAACAGCCAACGACACCTAATGAATGGTGAGGGGGTGGAAAGTTGGTGTTAGTTAGAGAAGAAGTGAAAGCACGACGGTTCCGGACTCGAGAGGGTCCATTCTCTGATCGACACCTGACAATAGCCAGACCAGATGCATTTAAGTAATGGAATGTATGGACTTTCACTTGCAATCTATTAGTGATTTCATTAATGGAGGAATTCATCCCTCCAACCAACAAGAAAGAAAGCTCGTATTAAGTCAATAAATGACACACCAAGGTCACTGTTCTATATATATATATATATATATATATATATATATATTTCATTTTAATGTAATTAAGTCGGTGTTATAGATTTTCATCTTTCTCAGTAATCCAATAGCAAATTCAATTATATCAGTGACAGGTAAATAATATTTTAAAGACAATGTTTTTATATACGTCTCAGAACATTTCAATAAGTTTGGGATTCTACATAGAGAGAATGTCTCAGGCTCTCATAGTTGAAGCAGAGTGACAGGGATGGTCCATCAATTCTTCTTTTCATTAGTTTGCCGTCCAAGATACTGCAACGAACAATGTGGCAGAAATTAATGCCAATTTGACCTTTGATGCTCAGGCTTTTAGCTATACAAATTTGGTGCATCCATATTCCATGATTTGCATTTTTATCTTATGCTGCAAAATTTGTACTTTTTTTTGTCTTTATTTGCATTTGTATATTGCAAGTTTTTGCATCTAAAAAGCTGATGCAAAATTTGCATCACCTGCCTCATATACCTTGCTCCTCTCAAACCACATCATTTTGCCTAACACGTACCTTGCTCCTCTCAAACAAATAATCTTCATCTTGTCTCCATCCTCTTTCACATGAAGTGCTTCATTTTCTCACAAACAAATAAAATAAAAGTGAAAATTGAAACAGTACTACATCAGAATTTGCACTCAACCCATTTATTCCCATGCACGCTATTATAAATGAAATCCACACTACAAACAAACTGACCCTTAATATATCATAGTCCAGGTTACCTAAAATAATGGCAAATGTAATACTTAGCAAAGTAAACTTACATATGCAAGACCAGATCAGCTACCAATATATTGATCTCAATACTTCTTCTAGCGTGATCTATAAGTGTGCATCTCAAACATGATTGTCATCCCCGGTGTAAAACCCCATCAATATATAACAATATACTGTGGAACATCTTTGAGACGCAGCTAGATCATGTTGGAAGTAATTTTATGTTTGTAGCAGATCCAAATGTGTTATATGTATATGTTTTTAAAAAGACACCCTAAATTGTGCATTTCATTAAAAAATGATCAAATCGAAACTGACCCAATCTGGTTGGGTCAGGATTATTGAACCAAAGTAGATTGAAAATATTAGAAAATTGACCAACTCGGGTTGGTTGGTTTACTGAACAGTCCTAACTGAAATTAATAATTTTTATTAATTTATAGACTCAGCCTAATTGTCTACTAAACTTCAAGCTGCAAAGTAGCACTGTAGAAAGGTTAATGAATACTTCTACATGTCAACACATAGATGGTAAGAGAAAAAGTGTCGATCTCCATTTTTGTTTATGAGAAAGTTTCTGCCTTATAACCTCTTATTAACATATGACAAAGCAAGAGCTTTTCTAAGTACTAAAAAGTTGGAACTTCAGAAAGGTCCAATATGTGGTAGAGATGACATGGATTGTGCACTTCACACATTACCAATTCAAAGGAACTCTCAATTGAGAACTTAATCATATTGAGGTGACATAAGGGTCTTTCATATGGTGGCTAACTTTCATATGTTCTTTCTAAAGGGTTTCACATGCTTGTAAACATACCATTTTTGTTTCAACATGAAAGAAGTTCTAAATTCCAAGTTCCAATCCAAAGGTCCTTGCCACTTAGTCAAGAAAAATTTTGTGGTTTTGTCTTTGGTAGGGTCATTGATTTAGACTATGTTTGGATAAGCTTCTACTTCTGAGCTGTGATGAAAAGTGTTTTGGTAAGTCTTTCTTTTAAAAATATATGTGATTAATGTCAAAAGACTTCTAAGCCAAAAACACAAAGCCCACTTTGTGCTTTGGGGCTTTAAGTACCACAAATCCTGATACTTATCCAAACACAACCTTAACGTTGTAGATTGAAAAATAAAATATAATAAAGCATAAATGAACATCTCTATGTTTTATCTTTAATTCTTTATATTTGACTTGTAGAAGGGACTTCATAGATTGGTGTTAATTAGAAGGGCCCTATATTTGATAGGGGACCGATTTTTTAAAAATGCAGCAATCCATGTATTGCAAAAAGTGCATTAATGGTTGACATGCCCCCATAAATAAGGTCCCAAACTCAAATTCATAGGGAATAAGGCATATAAGAAAAGATGGATGAACTATAAATGTGGTACATGGTCGGATGCACTAGTTAAAATGCCCTACATGTATTAATCAATGAAGTAGTTGATCAAGGGAAAGATTAAGAAAAACATTTATGAAGGTAGTTGAACTTGGGAATTCTAAAGTTGACAAAATTTTGAAAAAGACATCACACTACATTCCATTTTTTCCATTGTATTTTAAGTACTTATTAACTAGTGGAATCATACAATAAGTGTAAAATAAGCATTTATTTGCGTTTGGAGAAAAAGGGGCGAATAAGTGATTATATTCAAAATAAGTACTTAAAAAAACAACCCAGGGATTGCTTATTTTATACACTTATTCCAACTTCTTGGGAAAAAACTGTACCTATCATTTTTTCAAAATCTCGTCGTGTCTTCTCCATTTGAGCTCCAGCACAAACCAGCGGCAGCAACGTGCAACTCTAGGCTGAGAAATCATTCCAGGTATGTGAATCCCCTATCTTTTTCTCCATTTTTTGCTCAGTTTTGTGCCATATATAAATATTTATTGGTTAAGTGACTCGGCAAACACTATAACCCAAATAATACTTAAAATAACTCTAACTGGTTTGGAATAATAAGTACTTATGAAATAACTACTTATTTTTTAAACCACTTTTTCACCAAACATAGCTTTAATGCTTATTTCATGTACTTATATGACTGGTTTTTTATGTTTAAAAAAAATAAAAAATGACAAAACTCTGTGAGGGTCATGATGATTCATGAATCACAATTAGGGATGTCAATTTATACCCTATTCAGTGGGTACTTGCCCCAAAAGGGAGTTAATAATATTTTGT